TTGGCTGCTGAAAACAGGTTTCTGGCCTTTGTTTACCATCTGTATTTGATACAATGTTGCGGTCCTGCTGGCTGAAGCTAGCTGAGTAAAGCAGGTTTCTGGGTTTTTTTTAGCTTCTTTATTCGCAACATAGTTGCTGAGAGTTGCAGCTGAGAGGCCAGCAAGTCAGGCGGGGAACGTTGGAGTTTTCCGTCACTGAAGCAAGCAAGCCTCCCTGTTCGCATCAGCTGCCTGGCTGCCGGCCGCCATCTTGGCTGCCAGTTAATTTGCATATCTCGGCCCTACTCTGTGAGTGACAGGGGGATTAGCCAATGGAAAGGGTAGCGGTCGTACGCCAATTACCATGTTTCTCTTTTATTAGTGTAGATAACTGTCATCTCCATGGTACTATTTCTAATATGAAATAGTTCTGCTTGATAGCCCAGAATTACAGTTAGAAAATAGTTGTGGTCATTCAAAATGAACAGTATCCACTCCTGCATTTTTTTAAAAATATTTTTTACTGGTTTTTTACAGGGGAAGGGAGAGGGATAGAGAGTTAGAAACATCGATGAGAGAGAAACATCGATCAGCTGCCTCCTGCACACCCCCTACTGGGGATATGCCCGCAACCAAGGTACATGCCCTTCACCGGAATCGAACCTGGGACCCTTCAGTCTGTAGGCCAATGCTCTATCCACTGAGCCAAACCGGTTAGGGCCACTCCTGCATTTTTTTTTTTTTTTAAATATATTTTATTGATTTTTTTACAGAGAGAAAGAAAGGGAGAGAGATAGAGAGTTAGAAACATCGATGAGAGGGAAACATCGATCAGCTGCCTCCTGCACACCCCTGACTGGGGATGTGCCTGCAACCCAGGTACATGCCCTTGACCGGAATCAAACCTGGGACCTTTCAGTCTGCAGGCCGACGCTCTAGCCACTGAGCCAAACCGGTTTCGGCTCACTCCTGCATTTTTTAATAGGCAAGTGCTTGTCTGGTATATTTTGTAATGTAACTATAATTTCTTAGTATTTAGATGGGAGGCTTTCAGGTTTCCTATAGTTTTGTGGCTAAGACCCTGATACCTTCCAAGGTTAGGGTGCAAATGGTAGATTTTACAAAAATTTATTTTCAAGTTGGTTATTTGGAACTGAACACTATTCCTGTAGAAACTTAGCCTTCTGAGCTCTGTTACATATGTGTCTTTTATCTCCATTTCATTTTAGCAGCCTGCTTTCATGACTTTTGTCATGGCTTATACCTGCTTTCTGTTCCAGAATGCCCTTCCAGATCTACTCTGACCAGGGTCTACTCTGACCACAGCCAACTTAACCTTGACTCTTCTACTCCCTTTCTTCTGTGCCCCTCAGAGAGCTCTCTGACCCTTCCCCGACCGTCCATTGGTTTAAATAAAGAATTGGGTTCATTTGTTTGATCTTCCTGTGGCCTTCCATTTTTAAACTCCTCTCTGTAGACTCCTATAGCCAGCCTGCAGGGTGTGGCTGGGGACATCCCATTACGGTGCTGGTTAGTTTCTAGCTCTTGCTAGAGCTTTAGGAGGGCTCAGCAGACCTTTTAAACCTGTTTCTACAACCTTAACGACCACTTCTTTCCAGTCATTTTTATCCACAGCAGAAAGTTCTTCCTTGCTACTTTTTAAAGCATAATTTTTAACCTGGATCCATGGATTTCCAAATGGTTTGTGGAGTGGACTCAGGGCATTTTTGAACTTGAATGGGGGAAGAAATTTACATTTTTATTTTCATTACCTTTTAATTGAAATTTAGCTTTTTTCCCTCCATTATTAATGTAGGCAAGAAGTCACTAGTATTTGCAGTATCTGTGACTCTACCACCTATAGCATTCAGTTAATTTTATGTCACTTGAATGGATGTGGATATCTCAAAAATTACTTAATGCTCGTTGTCTCTTTAAAATTGCAATAGTAACTTGCTGTTAGATTTTACTGTTGACTGAATTAATAAAGAAGCATATATCACTATGGCACAAATGTGGTTTTTTGGGTTTTGATAACGGCATTTCATTATATTTGATTTCCTATGTCTTTCATGCAGTTAAACCCATAAGCTCCCTAAAATGCCAGAGGGGTACATGGATCAAAGAAAAAAGGTTAAGAATCCCGAATCTAGAGGCTCCCTGTGCCCCATCTCCCTGAAACCCTCTCTTATCCATTTTTCCTCTCCTACCTGAGGACCTTGCCTCCACTAGTCTACTTGGTTCTGTTGTTCCTCCCCACACAACCTGGGCCCTCACTGTGCTCTTTATCCCCATCTTGTTTCTTCACACTATTCTTTATGCCCTTTAATATTTCCTGTGTAATAAAATGCCTGGTTTAGTATATACTTATGGCGTGAAAATTCATAAAAACATGAGTAAAATACAAAGGTAATCTCACCTATGGATTTGTGTACAGTGGAGAAATTTTATTTTTTATTAAATACATTTTTTTTATTGAAGCGTGAGCAAGCGAGAGAGAATCATCAATGATGAGAGAAAATCATTGATCAGCTCCCGCCACACCCTACACTGGGGTTGGAGCCTGCAACCTGGGCATATGCCCCTACTGGGAATCTAACCATGACCTCCTGGTTCATAGGTTGATGCTCAACCACTGAGCCACACTGGTTGGGCAGAAATTTTATTTTTAATGCTATTCTAGTCTATATTATAACCTCTTTTCTTTCCCCTACTTAATTCTTATATATACCTATATATATGTATGATTATTTTTTTCTTCCCCAGGAAGGAAGGGAAAGGGGGGGAGGGAGGGAGAGAGAGAGAGAGAGAGAGAGAGAGAGAGAGAGAGAGAGAGACATTAATGAATAGAGGCCCAGTGCATTCGTGCACAGGTAGGGTCCCTAGCAGCTGCTGGCTGAGGCCTCCCTTCGCACCCACCTTGGCCTGGTGCCTCCTGCTAACCTGCTCCACCATCCCGCTGCGGTCCTGCTCTCCTCGGGGCCCATTGGGCCAGCAGTGCCTCCATTGCCTCCTGCTGCCAGTGCTGCATTGCCAACACCTGCCATGTTCTGCGCTGCCCCCTGTTGGTCAGCACACATCTGACTCCGGGTTGGTCGAACTCCTGCCTGTAGGGATAATTTGCATATTAGCCTTTTATTATATCGGATAGGATGAGAGATCGGCTGCTTCTGCATGCCTCCTACTAGGGATAGAGCCCGCAACCTGGGCATGTGCCCTGACCTCTTGGTTCATAGGTTGATGCTCACACTTGTTGAGCATCCCTACTTAATTCTTGCTTGTGTTTTTGAAGGCCTTGATCAACTGTTGCTTTTAAGGCCACAGTCTCTAGTTCTCAGAACTAAAGATTTGCTTCAGTCTGTAACTACTCTTCCATACCTAGGAGCTCCTGCAGGAAAAGTCAGGGGTTCTATCTTAGATATGAATCCCCAGCTCATCCAAACTCAGTAATACTCAGTAAATATTAAAGATGGTCTCATTTGTGAGGTTGGCACCCACTATAACTGTAGACTCTATTGTGTATAGATTGGTCCGGGTATAATTGATGGTACATGATAAAATACTTTTTAAAGTCGTTGAAAAAGTCATATTATTAATAATGGTCAAAATAGAATGATATCATTGAAATGAAATTTTTCATTTACCTAGGATTTCAGTGTTTGAGCCCTGGCTGGTTTGCTCAGTGGATAAAGTGTTGGCCTGCGGACTGAAGGGTCCCAGGTTCGATTCCAGTCAAGGGTACAAAGGCTGGGTTGCCGGTTGGATCCCCATTAGGGGCTGTGCAGGAGGCAGCCAATCATCGATGTTTCTCTCCCTCCCTCTCCCTTCCTCTCTGAAATAAAAAAATATCTATTTTTAAAAAATTTCAATGTTTGACAAAACAGATTTAATTGAAAGGTGAACTAGATAGTTGAGGATTTTTTTTTAATATATATTTTATTGATTTTTTACAGAGAGGAAGGGAGAGAGATAGAGAGCTAGAAACATCAATGAGAGAGAAACATCGATCAGCTGCCTCCTGCACACCTCCCACTGGAGATGTGCCCGCAACCAAGGTACATGCCCTTGACCGGAATCGAACCTGGGACCTTTCAGTCTGCAGGCCGACGCTCTATCCACTGAGCCAAACCGGTTACGGCGATAGTTGAGGATTTTGGTGAAGACTTTTCTGGAAGTATTTTAGGGTTTCTGATGTTAAGTCTAATAATGATTTTTAAACTTCCAGTTTTATGTCATTTTGTAGTTTTTAAATATATATATCTGTGTGTATATATATAATTGATTTCAGGGAGGAAGGGAGGAGAGATAGTTAGAAACATCAATGATGAAAGAGAATCATTGATTGGTTGCCTCCTGCATGCCCCCCACTGGGGATAGAGCCCACAAGAGCCCACAATCCGGGCATGTGCCTTTGATCAGAATCGAACCCAGGACCCTTCAGTCTGCAGGCTGATGCTCTAGCTAGCCACTGAGCCAAACCAGCCAGGGCTCATTTTGTAGTTTTAATAAATTCAATTTATATTTTATGGTATGCTACTAGCCTTTAACTTATTTCACCACTATTCTGGCTCTTTAAAATATTCCCCTACAACTTTGCTTCTTCAGTAATAATTGACTGAGAAGTAAAAGAGGAAAACTTGAGGAGAGCACTATCCTATTTCCTGGGTATGGGGCTGAGGGAATGCCTATGGGGGGGGGGGGGGGAAGCATATTGGTTGAGGCATTTCTTCCCAATCACCACAAGGTGGCACCACTGGCTCAGAATGACTGGGTTTCTGTCCAGAATCAGAAGGAAGGCTTTGAGAGCCCACCTGCTGTAAGGGTAGAAGAGGGGAGTTTGGCAGGGGGGGGCAGGGAGGGGGAGGGACAGATAGTTTTATACTCCTTTTTCCTTATAGTCTAGAGATTTTTGTAAATTGGATGTTTATAAACCAGGGAATTAAGCACATGATGAATTTATATCCATTATTTCATCTGATAATTTTTATTGTGTTTTGTTTTTTTTCTTTCTGTACCTGTAGTTGCTTCAGAAACAGGTAATATTTTTCTAACAGTCACTCTGTATTCTTGCATCTTGCCTTTATAAATGCTTTTGTTTCTTACCATAGTGGATAATAGAAAATTAATATACTCTGACTTATGACATTAGAAAAATCTACATGCAAATTCCCACAATTGCAATTGATTATAGCCAGTTGCTTTTTTGAACTTTGCTGGCATTCTGGATACAACATTGTACTATGTAATACCAACAGTGTTTTTGAAAAATCCAAACATGGCTGTTAATAAAGCATTTTTAGAATTTACAGTAATGTTTATTGGTAACAGTGTAGAATGGAATATCAAGGTCTTGATTTCTTTTAGCTAATGATACAGTGCTGATCTGAAGTAGAGTATTTATGACCAGGGTATTCTCCAGCATCCTGACATTATAGCCTCATTTTGTGCTGACTCCCCACTTCTGCGCATCTTTCCCTAAACTTTTTACTCATCTTTAAAAAGGGATTGTCTTTGGGGGAAATTCTGATTTTATTTTATTTTTTTAAAATATATTTTATTGATTTTTCACAGAGAGGAAGGGAGAGAGATAGAGAGAGTTAGAAACATCGATCAACTGCCTTCTGCACATCTCCTGCTGGGGACGTGCCCGCAACCGAGGCACATGCCCCTGACCGGAATCGAACCTGGGACCCTTCAGTCCGCAGGCTGACGCTCTATCCACTGAGCCAAACCGGTTTTGGCTTGATTTTATTTTTTAATTTAATTTTTAGTTTTCAGAGGAAGGGAGAAGAAGAGAGAGAAGAAACATCAATGATGAGAGAGAATCATTGATTGGCTGCTTCCTGCACGCCCCCTGCTGGGGATCAAGCCCACAACCCAGGCATGTGCCCTTGACGGGAATCGAACCGGAGACCCTTCAGTCTGCAGTAGATGCTCTATCCATTGAGCCAAACTGGCTAGGGATCTTTGGGGGAAATTTTAAAAGTAACATCATTCCTTATTAAGAGAAACACTTCCACATTTTCCCTTCCCCCATTTCTGCCTTGAAATTAAACCATAATGCTCTAAGTAAAAACAGGTAATAGTTAATTCCTTTTATAAGGTTGGTGTTGTAAACAGAAGATTTAAGATAATGTAGAATTGGAAAAATAGGTTATTTAATAAATGGCCTCTTTGTACAGCCTAAACTCTGATCAGCAGAGTAAAACTTGGTTCAGTGAAGTTTGCTTTTTGTTACCCTCAGTGGGAGCCTTGCTGTTTTCTTTTTTTAAATATATTTTATTGATTTTTTTTACAGAGAGGAAGGGAGAGGGATAGAGAGTTAGAAACATCGATGAGAGAGAAACATCGATCAGCTGCCTCCTGCACACCCCCTACTGGGGATGAGACTGCAACCCAGGCACATGCCCTTGATCGGAATCGAACCCGGGACCCTTCAGTCCGCAGGCCGATGCTCTATCCACCGAGCCACACCGGTTAGGGCTGCTGTTTTCTTTTAGAATAATGATATATTATTATAAAAGTACACAAGTTATTTTTTTGTATTTTTCAATTTCAGGACAGCTTGACTTGGTCTCTACTCTTTCCAAATACTTTGCCATACATTCACACACATTCCTGCAGCGAGAAAAAGTCCATTTATGTTGCTGTGTGTAAAAAAAAATCGCTGCTTTGAGCTTTAATTTTGTGAATAAAAATAATGCTACTTTTAATAATGGGTTTCCACCTAAGTATGTGCTTTATTTACTTAAATATATGCTTTTCTAAAATTAGTGTGATTAAAACATTAACAGGATCTTAACTATAAAGTAATAATCCTGTTGCTTCTTGCAGAAGATAACATGACTGGTTTGGAATTTTTCTGTAGTCTAGTTTTCTGTTCTAGTTTTGTGAAAATTAAACTAGTGAATTTCAGCATCCTAATGTAAGTTATTATTTGATTTTTTTTTTTTAGAGCATTTCACATTCTTGAAAACACACATGCCAAAATTAATTTTTACCAAGAATTTGTGTAACTTTAACATAATACAGAGTGGGGCTTGACTTAGGTGAATGTCATGTAAAGCCAAGTTTTTAGGACCATCTTCCAGCTGGAGATGACATGAGGTCAGCATCAGTCTATTAGACTCTCTTAGAAAGTTTTCCCAAAATAGAGTCGCTTCTAGTGAGTACTCCTTCCCACTCTCAACTGTAGTGTGCATCTCTGAGGAGGCCCCGCGTACACTCTTGGCGTTTATTACTGCTAGCAATGAGAATTGTGCTGCTGGTAGAACTGGCAGCTCAGCCCATTAGTGCAGTTATGTCTTTATTTCCTAGTGAGTGTGCTGTCCCCATCCCATCCCACTCCTTCATTCGCCCCTGGTTTGGGATGAGGGGAGGTAAAAGCTAGTTAGGCTTGTGGTGCCATCCATAAATTAGCTGGCACAAATTTCTTACTTTGTCATCACCTTGCCCACTGGAGAGCTGTTAATAGTCACAAAAGCAGTATCAAATAAAAGATCCCTCTGGAATTGGCTCTTTTGAGGAGACACAGCTGTTGATTCTTCCCTTCTTTTCCATGGTGGTAGCTTGCAGTAGGGGTGAGCTCCTAATGACTGGGAGCCAGATCAGCTGAAGTATCACTGTCTAGCCCTGTGCTAGATGATGCCATATGAGTCCAGCCACTTAAGTGCAAGCCTTTATCTCCAAAGCATTTTCTAACGTTGCCCCAGTGGACCTTTATTTAACTGAGTCCTAACTCCCAACTAGAGAAAATTTTTCTTTGCTGGGATAGCTGCTATAGATAGATAGTTCCTGTCAGCCAAACATACTGATGCCATGTTGCTTTCACTAGCTAGTGCTCCTCAGTAATATTAGCAGAGGAGAAGCAGACACAAGTGAGAAAGAATGGATCGAAAGTTCAGATGGCCCTGCCATGTGAACTTTCTGGAGACAGGAAACACTGTAGAGCCTGAATTTTGTAACAGGGCAGCTGTAGGGAAAAATGGGTTCTGTGGAGAATGGGTCACTTAGAATAGCTTCAGTTACTAATGGCAAAAGTATGTAAGGATACTGATGCTTGCATATAGATATGGGTTCAGAAAGTGGAAAAATCTTCCCATGTTTGGCTGCAGGACCACTGAGGGTATGTCTAATTACTGGGTTCTTTTAACAAAAGAGATCGTTTTAGGTGGATGGATAGAAATTTTCTGGATTACTTCAAAAAACACAAAGTAATTATTTTTCATATAATTTAATGACTTGTGAATATATGAAAACATTTCATATGGTTTAAAATTATATTGAAAACATATCTTCATTAATAATTATGGTGCCAATTAAGTTTTCTAAAGTTAGAAGCATCAGATATCTGAAAGCATACTGTTAATGAATGTTATTAATGAATGTTATTCTTTCTGTATTAGAAATTCCCTTTTCATAATTATTTTTTAGTATACATTTTGTTGGTAATTTATGTGTATAGTTTAGGCCATTGTGTGGGTGGTTGTATGATCTTTCAACCAAAAACATCCTTTGCAGATGCTTTTACTGACTCAGCTATCAGTGCTAAAGTGAACGGTGAGCACAAAGAGAAGGACCTGGAGCCCTGGGATGCTGGGGAGCTCACTGCCAGTGAGGAGCTCGAAGCTTTGGAAAACGACGTCGTAAGTAAAGTCTTTGGATTACTAACCGACTTTGGCCATGTGATGTGGTATGACATCCTGTCACTTGGATTCAATTTAAGTATATTGTTGTTGTTGTAATTATATTTAAAGCAGCAGTTTCATTGTGTAAATGTAGATTGTTGTCTGTATTTCTCCTCCTTCCCCCACCCCCCACCCCAGGGTGGTAAATACAGAAAAAATGTTTCTTTGGGATGCTTATGAATTATTCCTATGTTTTTAAAGTAAGTTATAATAAGCAACTTTCAAATCTAAACCATGGGAAACTGGAAATGCCAGAATATTTTGCTTTGAGTGCTCTGCCCAATAAGGCAGCGCAAGGCAAGTGGTATGGTGTCTAAATTGTCTGTTGACTTTAGGTAAGGTCAAAGTACATCTTTTAGGCTTGTCTGAAAAAGAAGTACTAATTATTAAGGTATATAGTTAGGTAACTGTATAATTAAAGCAACAAATTTCTTAATCTAAATTAGGATCATTTGCCACAAAAACCTATTTATAAAAGTCTCTTGGCAAACATTTTTACTTTTCCTATAACACGTCATCTATAAATCACATGCTTAATAAAGGCTGTCTTTAGGATTCTGTAAATAAATTTTCTAAACTGCAGAGATAGCAAAGTCTCTTGCCAAAAAATGAGTGTTTAGGGAGCAAAATTAGAATCGTATGAAGAATCTTCCATTGAATATTACAGAGAAGTCTTTTAACCAATCTTTGCTGTATCTTTAAGTCATTGTTCAGTTATAAATACGTAGGCAACACATCACTATTAATTTTCAAACATTAAGAAATCACATATAACCTGATGCAAAGGTTCTGAGGTCTGTGCAGCACAGCACCTGCGTTAGAGGGTGTAGTGAAGCAGGCACTCTTTTTTTATTGGTAGTGAGGCAGATAAGTGGATCAATGCTTTCCAGAGAGCATTCTGCAAGATTTTTTTTTAAAAATATATATCTCATTGATTTTTTACAGAGAGGGATAGAGAGTTAGAAACATTGATGAAAGAGAAACATCGGCCGAAACCGGTTTGGCTCAGTGGATAGAGCGTCGGCCTGCGGACTGGAGGGTCCCAGGTTCGATTCCGGTCAAGGGCATGTACCTGGGTTTCGGGCACATCCCCGGTGGGGGATGTGCAGGAGGCGGCTGATCGATGTTTCTCTCTCATCGATGTTTCTGACTCTCTCTCTCTCCCTTCCTCTCTGTGAAAAATCAATAAAATATATTAAAAAAAATAAAATAAAAGAAAGAGAAACATCGATCAGCCGCCTCCTGCGCACCCCCCACTGGGGATGTGCCCGCAACCAAGATACATACCTTTGACAGGAATCAAACCTGGGACCCTTCGGTCCTCAGGCCGACGCTCTGTCCACTGAGCCAAACCAGTTAGGGCCTGGCAATATCTTATCTGAATTTAAAATAAACATACACTTTGGTCTAGCAGTTCTACCCCTGGGAATTTACTTTTGCCATAATAGATCCGTAAAACGTGAGAATAATTATGTATGAGGATTTTTTTTGCAGCTGTTTCTGTTAGTGAAAAATTGGATACAGCCTCATTGTCCATTAGCAGGGTGTGGGTTAAGTAGATGTAGTGTACCTTCATTCATTTGAAATACTATATGTCCATGAAAAAGAATAGTAGTTAGGTATGGAAAGATATGCAAGACTAATGAGTGAAAAAGCACGTTGGAGAACAAGAAGATCATATTTGGGTTTTAAAATAAAGAGAGAGCCAATTATATGTGCATAGGGACTGTCTGGATTATGTCCAAGAAATTGTTAGTAGTGGTTAGGCACACATTTACTTTTTATTGGCTGTCTTTCTGCAGTTTAGATTTTTTACATGGAGCATAAACTACTTAAGTAACTTTAAAGCCTTCACACGTAACTGATTTTCTGTCCATGTTAGGCCTAAGGAGTTGCTTTAGTGGTGGAATTACATTATAGTTTTGTTTTTAAATATATTTTTATTGATTTCAGAGAGTAAGGGAGAAGGATAGAGAGAGAGAAATATCAATGATGAGAGAGAATCATGGATCGTCTCCCTCTTGCATGCCCCCTACTGGGGATCAAGCCTGCAACCTGGGCATGTGCCCTTGGCTGGAATCAAACCTGGGACCCTTCAGTCCTCAGGCGGACACTCTATCCACTGAGCCAAACCGGCTAGGGCTACATTATAGTTTCATCTGAAGTAACACAGAGAACCCAAGGTCGATGGGTGACCTTAGAGGCAAGCTTTAGTGTTGAAGTTGCCATGGACATTGCTTGGATGATTCTGTGTTCTCTCTTCTGAGATGGATAATGATTATGGACTGTATTTTGGTCTTTCCACCAGTCAGGCCTTTAAAAGGAGTTGAAACAATAGAGAATTGATTGATTACCTAGACATTAATATTTACCAGTGAAGATTCTTGCCGCCACTGCCTCTGATGGATTAATTCTTATGGATTAAAAAATGTAGTTTAGCCCTAACCAGGTAGCTCAGTTGGTTAGAGCATTGTCCTGATATGCCAAGTTCGATCCCAGTCAAGGCACATACAAGAATCAACCAAATAAATGCATAAATAATTGGAACAACAAATTGACACCCCTCTCTCTCCCTCTCTCTCTCTCTCTCTCTCTCTCTCTCTCTCTCTCTCTCCCCCCCCCCCTTTCCTACCTCCTGTTCCCCCCTTCCTCTGTCTCTAAAAGTCAATAAATAGAAAAAAAATTTTAAGTATGTAGTTTAGCTTTAGAGAATGGTAGTTTTCTCATAGGATTGTAGAGTTGTCTATACTGAGGTTACAGGTTAGGGCACCAAGGCCTAGAATTTCATTGCTGAGGACCATAGCTACTAATGGCAAAGCTGGTTCTAAAACCTAGCTCTTGTGACTTTGTCCAGTGGTTGCCTGTTTATTCTCTCATGCTCTTTCCCTTTGAGCCTCTGCCCTCCCAAAGGGAGGGGAGGATGGCAGGGAACTGGTACCCTCCACCACCTATAAGTAGTGATGCAGCAGGGAAAGCTTTGGCTTCTCCCTTTCTTCCTCCAAAACACTGAAAATCTTTTTGGTTGTCAAAAAAACACCCCTTGTCCCGCACAGACCTGATGATTAGTCAACTCATATCACAGACCTGATGATCAGTCAAGATTTCCAGTAAATACCCTCTAGAACAGCGGTCGCCAATCAGTGGTCCGCGGCCCACTGGTGATTGTGAGGTCCGAAAGGTTGGCGACTGCTGCTTTAGAAAGATGGCTGTTAGGAAGTAGGGAAAGGAGAGAATCCTGACCTAAGGGGGCTCATGTTTTATGAAGTAACTGCAATGTTCTAAATTTTTATTAATAACCTGTTAAATAATTGTTTTATATAGTTATTTACCAACTTGTAGGGGCTGATGTACAAGAAAAGTTTTTCCTTAAAACATTTCTAAAGGAAAATTTTGCCTATTGATTTTCTAGATTGTGCTAGTATAGTATAGTAGGATATATTGTTAATGCAGATATTGATTGTAACTGAACTAAAGAAGACAAATACTTTGTCATTTTGAAAAATGAGCTTCATTTTCTTCTAGTCTAATGGATGGGATCCCAATGATATGTTTCGATATAATGAAGAAAATTATGGTGTAGTGTCTACATATGATAGCAGTTTATCTTCGTATACGTAAGTTTAAAAAGTTTGCTTTTACTTTAGTGCATTTGTCTTTGGTTATCAATTTAAATTATGATGTTGAATAAATTCTGTTGCTTTTAAATTAAACAATTCTGTGAAAGCATTATCTATTACTCCCTAAGCTGATAAATTCCCATTAAAACAGGGAATACACATAGTTTACATATACTCTAAATGTATGCTCTATAAACATTTTATAAACTAAATTAGCAAGTCTAGTAGTTATGGGGGAATAATCAATTTAATGGTTTTGGAAATGTTATATTCCTTTAGGGAAAAGATAACATAATTCAAGTTTTGATTTACAATAAATATATCACTGTAACTCTCTTACAGTTTTACCAGAATTTCAAACTCTAAACTCCCTTAATAGTTGATCGTGACAGTTATATAAATTATGACTTTACTCACTTTGCTTTTTGTTTTCCTCATGTTTTAGGGTGCCCTTAGAAAGGGATAATTCAGAAGAATTTTTAAAACGAGAAGCAAGAGCAAACCAATTAGCAGAAGAAATTGAATCAAGTGCCCAGTACAAAGCCCGGGTAGCCCTGGAAAATGATGATAGGAGCGAAGAAGAAAAATACACAGCAGTTCAGAGAAATTCCAGTGAACGTGAGAGTCACAGCATAAACACTAGGTATTTAAAGGAAATCATGATGCAGTATTTTGGATACACCATTCAAGGTCTGTGTGAGAAGGTGTATTATTATTATTATATTTCATCTTCCTTTAATGTAGCTTAGGTAGGAAATGCAAATGGAATTGCTTTAAGGTTCTAGTAGAGAAAAGATTATAGAAATCTTAGAAAGTATTTTTAGAGCATCAGCTTTCTGTTGTCAAGTGTTGGATATACAGCGATGAGTAAGCCAAGGTGTGGAAGAGCTCATTTAGATGAGCGTGTGTTCAAAGTACTAGGGACGTTCAGAGTGAGGAGGATCTAGCATAGCCTGTAGGGTCAGAGGGGGTGACGTTTCGTGATAGCATAGTTGATCTGTTGGCCACTCAGAGAAATAGAAGAATTCCTCACATGGTGAAAAGATATGTGGAAGAACCCCACCACATATCTGAGGAAGGGCCAGCTGTTTCATGTGTGTAGGATACAGGGTGAGTGTTGAGGGTGCAGGGGTGGCCGCTGGTGATAGGAACTGAGGTAGTGAAGGGCTTCACATGTCACATTAAAAGAACACCTTGCAGGCAGGGGATGAGGTGAAGGAAACTCTGGGACGTTGAGAACTGACTGAACCATGGAGACCAGTTAGTGTTGCAGTAGTTCAAGTGTGAGAACTTGGTAACCAACTAGACCAGGGCTAGCAATAGAAAGGTTAGAAAAACCAGGGGTGACTGAGGTTTATTTGATAACTAAATGGACTGGTGGTTGTACTGGTAATGGAGACAGAAGACATGGAGCAGGTTTGAGGGGAGATATAACGAGTCTGTCTGCAGTTTATTGCATTTGAGGGCTTCACAGATCTTCCATTCATCTATTCACACGTGTTGAAAAGCACCTGCTATATATTTGGCAGCGTAAGCTATGCATCCTAGCTAAGAGTCTGGTGATTTGAATGAAAGTGTACAGTGGGAGATGTTGAGGCTGGGACTGGCAGGGGAACTTAGGATTCATCAGCATTGTTGATACTAAAGTCATGAAAAATCGTGAGTAGGCACAGAGAGAAGAGATCTCAGAAAACAAAGAGAAAGCCAAGGAAGAACAAAGTTTCAGGAAGGTAGACTATGCTTAATAGAGTCAGACATGAAGAGGCAGAGTAGATTAGAATGAACACACGTCTGTTAAACTTTGCTGAGGAGGGAGAATCTGAGGGAAATGAAAGGCGCGAGCTAGAACTTAGAGTAAATTGGAAGCAAAGGGTTTCTGGGAGTGGGGCAGGTTGGTTTAGTGTTTAACCTTTTTATAAGAAGAATTCCCTTCTGCCTAAATTACTTTTAGGTTTGTTTTATTGGCCTGGTTCCTATTAGGATAAAGTCATTTAGAGGATCTCTCATTTTCAGGGAAAATAAATATATTCCTCCTGGACAAAGAAATAGAGAAGTCATGTCCTGGGGAAGTGGGCGACAGAATTCACCGCGTATGGGCCAGCCTGGACCAAGCTCCATGGCATCAAGATCCACTTCTCACACATCAGATTTCAACCCGAATTCTGGTTCAGACCAAAGAGTAGTTAATGGAGGCAAGTATTTTGACCAAATTTGTCAATGTTATTGATCAAATATATCACTTTCTAAATAATTACAAGTTTACATAATGATAAGAATGTGCACACCTTAATTTTTGTGGAGTTGTTTTCACTTTAAAAAATTATTTAAATTTACCTTTGTGGATATCAAATTAGTAAAGTTAGTATAAGTAATTGGAATACATTTAGCATAATGAGAAATACTCATGTATTAAGATAAAGTGCTAAATTTAACCGAAGACATTCACTTGGCAAAAACAAAAAACAAATAAAAAACACTCCACATATAAAGAAATTGGAAACTTTGGGTAGGTTCTCAATTTTAAAAACACTGGATGATAAAGTTATTTACACAAAATTTAAATGGAAAATCCTATTCTGTGTGAAACATTCAGTGGTTAATATAGATTTATTTTCACTTACTGTTTGCTTATATATTTATATTCTGCTTATTTCAAGAAAAGATTTGAGGTGACTTGACAAGACATGACCAACAGTCATGCAAAGAAGGTGACGAATGAAATGTGCTTTAAAACAACCAAAACAACTCTTAGTGTAAAGGTGGCTATTGTAGTTTAGCTTAAGTAAAAGAAACTTGCATCTTTAGTAGGAAGAGATACTTCTACTCTACCTCTAAGTCTAGATTGAATATAGCTCATAGGTCATGGATCTTTAATATAAGTCTGGTATACTAGACAGCAGTACCGTAGACAGTATGGAAATATAGTAATTAATAATACTTAAGGGGGAAAGTGGGCAATCCATTTTAGGTATCTAAGTTTGGAAAGTTAGGAGGAAAAATAGAGAACACTAAGTTTCCAATTTCATTTTATTGAGCCTTTCTCCAGAATTCCTCTCCAAATGAACACTCTTGAGTATTTTGTATGCTTAGTATTGGGGGTGAAATTTCTTTGCTCACTGAGTAAAGAATTTCAGTTGCTCATGAACAGAATTTCCAAAGTAAAAAACCTGAAGGGGCTGGGAAATGTATGATACTCAAGTGTGTGGCAGCCTGTGGAGAGGAGACCTGGACTGTTTGCTAAGATGAAGGTAAGTGATATGCTATGTTTACATGTTAGCTGTATTTTGACCTGTGCATATCCATCAGTGTCAGTTATTTGGTGATGACTGCTCTGTACTTGTATTGTTCATTAAGCAGTTTCTTAGATGAGTTAATTATCTTTAGATAAGTAAAGCTGCATAATTATACAGAAGGTCCCCCTTTTCCTTATTTGATAAGATTAAAATGTTTTTTGAGAAGGCAATGAATGTTAACCTTTGTCACTCCCATGACTGTAGAAAATAGTGGAAGTAATGTTTTATTTCTACTTGAATGAACTTGCTTAATGAGATTTCAGACTGAAGCTTATGTTCAAGTATAGACTAGATGAAAATCAGGAATGGTTATGAGAAACCAGCATTTTTAATGGGATTTTATAGTTGATGCTTATTTTCATTATGTTTCAAAAGCTAAAACTAATGTAAATGTTATTCCTGAGTTTTGTGATTTATTGTGTGAAATTATCTATATGTTATACTTCTTTTATCTATTTACTGAGAAACAGTTGTAGAAGTAGGATTAATAGGCAAAGTCTTAACTGTCTTCTTCAGTAGTATGTGTAGATCCTAATTAACCCTTTGGGAACGTGTATTCATTTAAACAGATTAACTTTAAGGAGGTTAAAGTAAAATGTGAATTATGTCAGTTTAAGTTATGCTAAAACTTAACACAAATCAAATGACTGTCCTCAAAGGGTTAAAATGTACAAGAAATCATTTTTGTCATTTTACTTTTTTTTCTGTTTACTTTTTTCCCTCATTTTTTTCTTTAGTTTTTATACTTTCCTTCATATCATTTGTTCTGTCAGGTGTTCCCTGGCCATCGCCTTGCCCATCTCCTTCCTCTCGCCCACCTTCTCGCTACCAGTCAGGTCCCAACTCTCTTCCACCTCGGGCAGCCACCCCTACACGGCCGCCCTCCAGGCCCCCCTCGCGGCCATCCAGACCCCCGTCTCACCCCTCTGCTCATGGTTCTCCAGCTCCTGTCTCTACTATGCCTAAACGCATGTCTTCAGAAGGTACAATACCACAATTTGTTCATGTTTTTGTTTGTCTTTGTTTAACTCCTGTGTGAGTTTATAATTAGAAAAGTTTCCTCTTCATTATTTGATAACCTATAATTTCCGTGTTTTAACTTTAGTTTATTAAAACTATTTCTATTAACCTTTTGTTCATTAGAGAGAAATTTGATAAAATGCTGTGTGAAGCTATGAACTATCCTGAATTGTAAGAAGGGGGATTATCTCTGCCTGGTAATGATGCTCCTTTACAGCCCCAGCAGGTCTGCCCAGGGCCTCCCCGATACGATGATTAATGGCGAACAATGAACTCTTCACCCAGTCTTGGACTTACTGTAGAACCTATCATTTTATAGCTCCTTGGCCAAGGTATTAGTGAACCTACCTGTTGGCCGTAGGCAGGAGTGGTGACTTAGGGATATTTTTTGAGAGGGACATTCCATATAGCTGCCTTTTTGTGTCAACCCTTAGATTACAATAGTGTTTGGTTTTATGTTTGGGGAATTAAAAAAAATTAGCTTTGCAATATTTTATAATGAAAGTACTTGAATCTGGAAGAAGTTCTGGATCTAAAGTAAAATTGTTAATAAAAACCATATCTGAATTTTAATCTTCAGGGTTTTGTTTTTTATTTATTTTTGCCCTTGTAGGAAAAAAGAATATAATTTTCAGTCAATATGTGATGCTAATTTGCCATTGCTACACATCAAATATATGGATGTGTTGTAGAAAGGTCACATTTTAACTTAAATGCAGTACATAAATTAAAAACCTGTTTTTTTGACTGATAATGTCCTTTTGATCAAATGTTTTTTATCTGATTCGTTCATTAAAATTGCCTTTTATTAGCTTCTGTTGAGACTGATATGGTTTTCTGGTGTAAAGTGCTTCCCCGGAGAAAACTATGCTGCCTGCTTTTTAATAAATTGTTGCCCTCCAATCAGAGAGGTCGTGTGACCTTGACTACAGTGGCTAACCTTCAACAGCAGGTTGCGCTGATCTTCAAGGTGACTTCCTTACTCTGAAGTGCCTGTAATGGTGGCCACTAAACAAAAAGTTAAATTCTGTCAAAGTATTGTCAAAGGCCGTTGTTTAATTAAGTGATGTTGTTGTCATGACTTACGTTGGGTAAACAGGACTCCTTAGTGAGTGTGAACGTCTACAGTGAGGTGCATGGGCTGCTTGTGGACTGACTGTTGGGTCAGAAATCACCTTCTGCATATTCGGGGATGCTGCATCGGAGGTTTCTTGTTAACTAATTGGAATTAAAAAATGTTTTCTAATCATCTAGGTAGGTGACAGTGAAGCATTTTTAAGTGTAAACTTCAAAATTAAAGCTATTAAATATAGTGGTTTTCTGTGCTTAATAGAGGGGAGTATATTTTGTTTCTGTAAGTATTTGATATATTACCAAAAAGAATGAGTTTTTTTTGTTTTTTTGTTTTTTTAAATATATTTTATTGATTGTTTATAGAGAGGAAGGGAGAGGGATAGAGAGTCAGAAACATCGATGAGAGAGAAACATCAATCAGCTGCCTCCTGCACACTCCCCTACTGGGGATGTGCTCGCAACCAAGGTACATGCCCTTGATCGGAATCGAACCTGTGACCCTTCAGTCCGCAGGCCGACGCTCTATCCACTGAGCCAAACTGGTCACGGCGGGAATGAGTTTTTTTTTAAGTTGCAGTTTGATTTCATTGAGGTATGCCAACCTACTTTAGCAGTCTTTCTAAGAGATATTAAAAAAATACGTAAAAATATGCAAATACCCAATTCTTAAATCGTTCTTTGATAGAAGTCAATTATGTCTCCCGCTGGAAACGATAATATGTAAGATTAACATCCTTTTTAAGATTGTATCCAGGATTAAATTCCTGCCGAGGACACAAACTAATTTGACATTATGCAAAGTTTGGCAGCAGGTGAGGTGAGGAGCCTGCACTTTGACATGAAGGAGTTTTGCCAAGTGTTGGCACTGTCTGGCTTCTCTGATGAGAGCTGTTCTGTCCAGTTTTTACCTGTTTTGTTTGAAAGTACAGTAGACTTGTTTAGAAATAAAGTTAAGGGGGTGACAGAATTAATTATGTAGAATTTTGATAATTCATATCGTGCAAATTTCTTCCCCAAATGTCAATTATTCTGGTTCTAAAAGTCATGCCTTAACAGTAGGATTTTCAGCTCATAGCCTGTTGAGTGAGGAACTGCTTACTGGTGAGAACTGATTAAGGCATGGGTTGTAAAATTGATTACCATGGCAGAAGAGGTAGAGAAATTTAAGGAGATATGTACATATATATTAATAATACAAAGATATATAGGGATTACTAGTTTTTAAAAAAATATTTTTATAATTTTAGAAATAATATAGCAAATTTGAGGGAAAAGCCGAAAGTATGTATGGTAAAATAAAAATTATAGCATCATGTAGCCATAACTTCTGTTAGCATTTTATATGTATATTTAAATGCTTATAAATAATGGATATAGGTTAAATTGCTAAAACTTTTGAAGAGTTATGACATCTTATTGTGTGATTTCTTACCATCAACCTCATCCCTCCCTTTCTTTAAAAATAAAGAGAAATAAAATAAAATTTATTTATAAAACTTCATAGCATTCTATAAAATAATCCTGAAAGAATATGGCCAAAAATATATATACCAGCCCCCCTCTCCCCCACTTAAACCAAGGAAAAGAGAGAATCAGATGTGTGTGAATGGGGTGTTGTATGTATTTAGCAGAAAAGTTGTACTGATGGACATTGTGTCATTTATGTAATGTTTGCTCTTCCTTTCTTAGGGCCTCCAAGGATGTCCCCAAAGGCCCAGCGACACCCTCGAAATCACAGAGTTTCTGCTGGAAGGGGTTCCATTTCCAGTGGACTAGAATTTGTATCCCATACTCCACCAAGTGAAGCAGTGGCTCCTCCCACAGCAAGGACCAGTCCAGCGGGGGGCACGTGGTCATCTGTGGTCAGCGGGGGTAGGTAACACGTGGATTAGAGTATGATGACAGTGTTCATTTTGTAATTCTAAATGTAAAAAGGGCTGAGCTCAAGCTGTTTGAGGAAGTATATGTATATATATTAAAAATGAAGTAACCAGGAATTGGAAAATGTATATATTCTGGGCTCTACAACTCACTCTCATCATATGTTAGAGCAAATCTGTGATCATTCTGAATTTCAGTGTCTTAGTGAGTAAAATTTTTGCCTATTCTATTTATGGACTTTTGATGAGATTCATATGCTACTTATAAGTATGAATATACTTTTTATATATAAAGTACTGAAATATAAGTTAAGTACAGAATGTAATGCCGTTTGGAGGGACCATATTTCCTATCCTCTTAGTAGCTTGATTCATTCCACATACATTTATTTTGGGCTCACAGTGCTATGTGTTTCTATGGCATCTGTATATGGCACTAACTACTGACTATACTTTCCTTACACGGAATATCAAACACACGAGAGGCCCAAGATTTATCTGTGGCTAGCCTAAGGAATGTGCTGACAGCAGCTATGTATAAAAAGTACACACACTTTGAGTCAATCTTATAATTAAACTAAGACTGCTTTTTCTACTTATGTTTTACTTTCATGATAACTATAGAGAGGGCAGGCAGTGATTGTGTATTTTGGTAACAATCTTACTTTAATCAGTGCATCGAACCTTTACAAGAAAAAATACCTTTAAGCTTAACAAACAAAAATATACCCAACTCTGTTAAATGTCTTTAGTTGATATATACTGCTCAGCTTCATGAATGTGTATTGTATTGTAAATTCCTTTGCAGTTTCTATTTTTTCCTTTGGTTTCCAATTATAAGTAAATAACAATTCAATTAACAAAATAGAATTTCTAAAAATCTGTATTTCTCCATTTCTGCCATTAATCATGTGACATATTCAGATAATCTGGAAATGAATTTTGAGAGTAAAGCATGATTATAGGAGTGAAAGAGTGAAAACGTATTTGTTATAAATACATATAGGACAGTATAACAAGTTTGTTCTTTATAATAATTTAAAAAATTGCAAATGTTGAATAATAATTTCCCTCCATGACCCTTGTGACTTAATGAACCTTTAATGTGAAGCAAGTTGAACCATTTTCTGTATACCTTTGAATCTGAGCTCTACAGATGTGTTTATAATGGAATATGAAACCTAATTAGATACTTATTTTGAGGCTGTGCATATGAACCCTTGCTTGGGTTATCTTCCCCTCCTGGCTAAATTGAATCCCCAATTTCCTTAGTTACTACAGAATGGATCTTGATGTGGCAAGAGAGAACATATAGGATTGGTTGCAAGCTGCTAAAAGGTGTTTGAGTTTGTTGGAAGGATAAATATATAAGCCTGCTTCTTAGGGATACACACACACACACACACACACACACACACCTTTAAAAAATTTTTTCTATTGATTTCAGAGAGGAAGGGAGAGGGAGAGAGAAAAACATCATGGATGAGAGAGAATCATCGATTGGCTGCCTCCTGCACACCCCATAATGGGGACTGAGCCCGCAACCAGGGCATGTGCCCTGACTGGGAATCAAACTGTGACCTCTTGGTTTATAGATCGATGCTCACAACTGAGCCACACCAGCCAGGCTACACACTTTTTTAAAAAAAGAAACTGTCTCACTTTTTAGTAAAGAATATTGCTATTTTTATTTTTTTTTAAGTGACATTTATCTTACCTTAGAAATCCAGTTTCTAACTTCATTTAAAATATTGCCTTTAGACTTAATATATTTAGTTAGAAGAAAAAACTACAGTTGTACTTAGTTATTAGTATATTCTCAATCATTACCATTTGTACTAAGACTTTGGAAAAGAAAAACAGGGTGATGGGATAGGGCAGTGGTCGGCAAACTGCGGCCCCTTGAGTGTGGCTCTTCCACAAAATACCATGTGCGGGCGCGCACGTATAGTGCAATTGAAACTTCGTGGCCACACTCAAGGGGCCAAAGGGCCGCATGTGGCTCGCGAGCTGCAGTTTGCCGACCACTGGGATAGGGTAATTGGGAATGGGGGTCAGGTAGGACTATTTTTACCTAGATCTTAAGCTCTTTGACGAGGTGACATTTGAGCTGAGAATGTAATGGATAAGTTTTCTTTTTCTTCTAGTTCCAAGATTATCCCCCAAAACTCACAGACCCAGGTCTCCCAGACAGAACAGTATTGGAAATACTCCTAGTGGACCAGTTCTTGCTTCTCCCCAAGCTGGTATTATTCCCACGGAAGCTGTTGCTATGCCTGTTCCAGCTGCATCTCCCACGCCTGCCAGTCCTGCATCTAACAGAGCTGTCACCCCGTCTATTGAGGGTATGTAAGAAAGGACTTCCGATCCGTCCTGTTGTCTGCAGAGTGCAGCTTTACAGGTTGAACATTATACAAAAAATGCTATGCTTTATTCAAGGATAGGTATTTGTGTGCACATTTAAAGTTTCATGTGAATGAAGTTAGCTGTTTAAGTAATACTGCTAATTTTATGTTGTTATTGACTGTCTTTTGTTAAGAGAGTTAACATTCTTGAGTAGTAAATATTAACATAAAATTATTGATGTTTCATATGTCTGCAAAGGAGAAAAGCCTCTTTAAATGGAAATATTATTTTCCAAAAAAGTAGGAAACAACATTTTTTGAATATTTTCCCATTTTACTTTCCTAACATTTACCTAACTTTGAATTTTTTAAAAAATTATTTTCTAGCTAAGGATTCCAGGCTTCAAGATCAGAGGCAGAACTCTCCTGCAGGGAATAAGGAAAACATGAAGCCCAATGAGACATCACCCAGCTTCTCAAAAGTTGAAAATAAAGGTGAGAGCTTTAAAAAGTCTTTAGGGAAACTGTAGAAATAGAAAGGAGTATGTCTAATCTCATGCCCAATATAGAGTATTTTTGTTCAACACTTTTTCTTAGTATTGTGCATATTTAAATGTATAATGTGACAAATGCTAAAGCCTATAATTAATGTATTAAAATTTTTATTATTTTGATAATAACTTATTTTCATTAAAAAAATATATATTTATTGATTTCAGAGAGGAAGGGAGAGGGAGAGAGTGATAGAAATAGCAATGAAGAATTAACTGACCAGCTGCCTCCTGCACACCCCCGCTGGGGATCCAGCCCACAATCCAGGCATGTGCTCTGACCAGGAATCAAACCGTGACCTCCTGGTTCATAGGTCCACGCTCAACCATTAAGCCACACCAACCGGGCAAATTTATTTTAATTTCTATCATCCTATCCTAAAAGAATTTAAGTTAAAGATTAGAAATAAATCTGTAATCGTTACTAATTTTACAGGTATATCACCAGTTGTTTCCGAGCATAGAAAACAGATTGATGACTTAAAGAAATTTAAGAATGATTTTAGGGTAAGTGTTGCATTAGAATCTTAAAAAATAAATATTAAACATTACTAAGAATTTTTATGTTATCTGTTTATAAAAATGGATTATATATACAACCACAAACATCGAACTGTGTGCATAAAAAGCTAAACATTCTTAAAGTTGTCTTTGCCTATGCTTTAGGGTAGCTAAAATCATGAGATTTTATAAGAACAATATAGATATAAGATGAAAGGGAATATAATTTTTAACATTCGAAGCTACCATAAGTTATTATTTGGTGTTCATTTGATTACTTGATTCACTGAAGAGCAGAGCAAGACCAAGGTGTTCATTATCTGATGTGGTGTCAGATACCCTGCACTCTGGGGTGGTGATGTAGTTGCAGATTTTCATTTTGTGCACAGATTCATTGTGGTAGCAATCTTTGATGGACTTGCTGAACATACTGTAATCTCACCCGGATAACTGTTTCATTCTTTTGCTCAATATTTACTAATACACTGTGCATATCAAGGTATATTTTGAGACCAACTCAAGAAATCACCCTGAAACTTAGCTTCTCAGTGGGAAAAAAATCTGATCATCAGCCTTTCCCTCACTAAAGTCCTCCTGTGAACTATTCCTCAGCTGCACTCTCCTGTCAGAGGGAAGAGTATTTTTCCTGGACTCTTCTTTTTTATTTATTTAATGCCATAACTTTTTATTTCTTTTGCATTATGTATGAGTTCTCCAAACAGGATTTCTAAGTTAGGTTCTCCTATACACTTCTTTTCACTGCATATGAATAGATCTCTAAGCAACAGATACTATTTTTCATAATCTTCATTTTGTTAGCAATAGATATTCTTGCCCATTTGCTTTTGTTTCCTCCACATTATTTTTTACAGTCAGTCATTCAGTTCCTTCCTAGAGTACACTGCTTTGAGTTTATTAGGCTTTGAAGGAAAGAAATATTTTTGCTTTGAAGCATATAAGTTGGTATATTTTTGTAACAGTTTTATTGAGGTAAAATTGACATACAGTTTAGCCATTTTAAAGAGTATAATTCAGTGGTTTTTAGTTTATTCACAGAGCTGTACAACCATCATAACGTTCAATTTTAGAAGTTTCGTCATCCCAAAAAGAAGCCTCATACCTCTTAGCAGTCACTCCTCATTTGCTATCAAATACCGCTGTCCCCACAGGTCTTAAACAACTACTAATCTGTTTTTTGTCTCTATAGATTTCCCTATTCTGGACATTTTATATGAATGGAATCATACAGTATGTGGCCTTTTGTGACTGCCTTATTTCATCTAGCATAATGTTTTCAAGGTTCATTTATGTTGGAGTATCTATCAATACTTCATTCCTTTTTACAGATGCCATTGTATGGATAGACTATGTTGTTGATCCATTCATTAATTGAGGTGTCGTTGGGTTGCTACCACTTTTTTACTATGAGTAATGCTGCTATGAACATTAGTGTACAGTCTTTTGGTGGACATATATTTTTATTTCTCTTGGGAGTGGAATTTCTGGGTCATACAGTAACTCTGTTTTTAACCTTTTGAGGAAAACTTCAAGCTGTTTGCCAAAGCAACTGTACTATTTTACATTTCCACAGCAGCATATGTCACAGTCATAAAGATTTGCTCTCTTACTTTTTATTTTTTTTAAATATATTTTTATTGAGTTCAGACAGGAATGGAGAAGGAAAGATAGAAACATCATTGATAAGAGAGAATCACTGATCGGCTGCCTCCTGCATGCATCCTATTGGGGATTGAGCCTGCAACCCAGCATGTGCATAGTTGAATCTGGGACCCTTCAGTCCCCACCCAGGCTGACGCCCTGTCCACTGAACCAAACCAGCTAGGGCTGCTCTCATTACTCTTAAGAGCTGTGATTATTTTAAGTAAAATTTTTTTTTTGTTTGGGTATTTTTTTGTTAAAAGTATATTTTATTGTATTTTTTTTATTTTCTTGTTGTTAATCCTCACCCTAGGATACTTTCTCCATTGATTTCCAGAGAGAGTGGAAGGGAGGGGGAGAGACAGAGTGAGAGAAACATTGATGTGAGAGAGGCACACCAATTGGTTGCCTCTCACACGTACCCCACCAGGGATCTACAACCAAGGTACAAATCACACCCAAGACCCTTCAGTCCACAGGCCGACGATCCAACCACTGAGCCAAACCAGCCAGGGCTTGAGTAATTTTTTTTATGTTGTGTGAAGTAGGGCTCCAAATTCATTCTTTTGCATGTTGATATGACTTGTCTCAGCACCTTCTGTTGAAAAGACATTTCATTGAATTGTACCCTTGTTGAAAATCTATTGACTGCAATTGTGAAGGTTTGTTACTGGACTCAGTTCTCCACCATAGAGCTATGTCTATCTTTTATGCCAGTACCACACTGTCTCTGTAATATCTTCATTTAGTAGGAAACCTTTTGTTATCAATTCACAACTTTCTGTAAATCTTTTTTAATACTTGACTCCTAAATCCCAGGTAGATAATAGCATTAAAACTCTATCTCTTTAGGATTTTTAGTTCTATTACTGTTTGGGGCCTGAGTAATCAAATTCATTAATAATTCTATTCAGATAAAATGTTATTAGCTTTACCTTTTTATTGAGTATTTCTTATGTATCAGACATTGCTCTAGTGTTTATATGATAAACTTTTTATTGTCCTGTCATCCCTTTGAAGTACATCTTTTTTTTTTTTTTTTTTTTAATATATTTTATTGATTTTTTTTACAGAGAGGAAGGGAGAGAGAGAGAGAGTTAGAAACATCGATGAGAGAGAAACATCGATCAGCCGCCTCCTGCACATCTCCCACCGGGGATGTGCCCGCAACCCAGGTACATGCCCTTGACCGGAATCGAACCTGGGACCTTTCAGTCCGCAGGCCGACGCTCTATCCACTGAGCCAAACCGGTTTCGGCCCTTTGAAGTACATCTTATTATTACCCTATGTATACATAGGAAACTGAGGCAAAGACAAGTTAAATAATTTCCCAGATTCTCATTGCTAGTAAAAGATAGGCCTGGCTGTCTGTGTGTTTGAGATTCCATCAATGCTTTGGGCAGTAGCTAATGCATAGTAATGTACTGTGTTGTTCAGCGAATGAATCATCAGACACACCCTCATGACATGCACGTGTCCTGAACTATGATGGTTCACAAAAATCTGGTCTTTCATTGATGGTTTTTTTTTTTCCTTTGAGAGCCGAAAGCAAAGGCACCTATAGTAAAAATAAATAAGTTGGACTGCATTAAACTAAAAAGCTTTTCTGTACAGCAAAGGAAACCATCAATAAAATGAAAAGGCAACCTACTGAATGGAGAAAATATTTGTAAATCTGATAAGGAGTTAACTTCCAGAATATATAAAGTACTCCCGCAAGTCAAAGAAAAAAATTAATTTTTTAAAAATTAAAACATGGACATAGGACCAAAATAGAAATTTTTCCAAAGAAGAAATACAGATAGATGGCTAACAGATCCATGAAAAGGTGCTCACCATCAAAACCACAATAAGTCCCAATCGGCTGGACCCCAGCAGCATCTGCCCCCTAGTGGTCAGTGCACGTCATTGCGAGTGGTTGAGCTGTCAGCATATCATTAGCATATTATGCTTGGATTGGTTGAACAGACTACCGGACACTTAGCATATTAGGCTTTTATTATATAGGATGGATGGACCTTGAGGGCATTGTGACAAGTGAAGTAAGACAGAGAGAGACAAATACCATCTGATCTTACTTATATGTGGAATTTTTAAAATAACAAAGCCCAAACTCATAGATAGGGATTGGTGGTTGCCAAAGGCAGGGGTCCTTCAAATGGGTGAAAGTGGTCTAAAGGTACAAACTTCTGGTTATAAAATAAATAAATCATGGAGGTGCAATGTACAGCATCGTGACCATAGTCAGTGCTGTTGTATTGTATATTTGAAAATTGCTAGGAGAGAAGACCTTAAAAGTTTTCATCATAAGAAAAAAATGGTAACTGGTGATAGCTATTAACTAGACATACTGTGATTATTTCATAATGCATTAGATCATTATGTTGTACATCTGAAACTAATGCAATGCTACATGTCAATTATATCTGTTTTTAAAAAGTGATTCTATTTTGGAGGGGGGAGAATCTGTTTTCCCTTAGGTTTATTATACTGTAGATAGGATATATGTCAGAATGCCCAAAAGCATGAATTGCGCCTTAGTTTTCCCATTTGTAAGATGTCAATAATAGCATCTGTATCAAATAAGGCTGTTGTAACTACTGAATGAGTTTGTAGATAGTTCAGAACAGTGTCCAGACCATAGTGAGAACTACAGATAACGTTTACCTTCATACAAACAACAGAAGTCTTACTTTTGCCTTACTCAAAGACCTTTGTAATAAACACTAGAGAAGTCTTCTCTAGTACACAGTTGGTCTGCGTCACCACTATTAAAGGCTTTTATGAACAAATGCTGGCTTAAAACTTAAATGTCTATATTTTGACTTTAGTTATTACTGAGTTCAAATAAATGTGCTATCACTTTTTCCCTCCACTCCAATGGTGATGCAGTGAAGCTTGAGATGTCCTGAGATATGTAATGCCGTTTACCAGACACCCAGGGCCTCAGGAGTGAGGCTTTGACACTGGTTTGCCCATCCTGGGGCTGAGGATATAGTTTGTGTCTTTCCATCCTTGCGGCCCTTCTGCCGTGCAGGTGCCTTGGGGCTGCTGCCTGTATTTGTGCTCATTTCCACCTTGACTGCTATTTGCTGCAGTTTCCTTCTTTTTCCTTGTTATTTCCTTCAGCTGTCCATTTTCTTCTGTAGAGTATGGCATCTTCAATAGTCTTTAGGAAGGAGTAGCCTTGATTTCTTCTGTTGGGCAAACAACAACCCCATCACTTATTTCACTGTCTTTTTCACTTCTGTTCTTTTTGTTGGTTGGTACTTGAGTTTTGTGGTTTCCTTCTTTACTGACGGGTTAGAAGATATAATGAAGTATATTAAGCAACATGTCTAGTCAGGTCTCCCTCAATCCACCTATATCTGACTTTCCAAGCCACCACTTCCCAAGGCCAGGCCCTGATCTTCTTGCAGCCTCCATAATGGGGTCTCCATTCTCAGTTGTTCCCTCCAGTTCATTTCTGCAAAGCTGCTATGCTCATCTTTATGAACCATAAATTCTGTTCAACACTGTAACCTGCTAAAAATTATTTAGGAACTTCTCAACCCCCTAAAAATTAAAAGCTAGAGTCCTTAACATAGCTCTCAAGTGCCTTTATCTTCCATTTCCTCTTGAGTGAAATTGTTATTTCTTGACTCACTTGTGCAAAGGCACCCACTCTTGCTCCAGCCACAGGGCTCTCAGCTTCACAGTGGGCCGTCTTCTCTCATGCCCTGAATTTTCAAACATGCTGTTTCTTTTTCATAGACCATTCTCTTCGGTAAACTTCCCTCCTTCCCCAAACATTTTTCACACTCTGGACTAGATGACACTTCTATTAAGAAGCCTTCTCTTTCCATAAGTTGCTTTTACCTGTGGGATCCAATAGAATTTATCACATTCTGTAAGTGTCTGATCTCACCCAGATAAGAAAACCTATTTAATATTTTCTATACCCACCAGGCACAATTTCTGACACACGATAGGCAATCAGTAAATACTTTTTTGAGGTTAGGACATTTGAGTGCGTAGATGACTGTGGTTGTGGTGTATAGATATTTTGTTACTGTCTTATAATAAAGACATTACTCTTAAAGTATGAAAAAGCCTTATTCAATTTATTCATGCTTACAAATAATGTTAGTGTATTTGTGTTATGGAGAAAATTGATTACTAGAGTTACTTAAAATATTTAAGTATAATTATTTCCTTTATTTAGTTACAGCCAAGTTCTACTTCTGAATCTGTGGATCAACTGCTAAACAAAAATAGAGAGGGAGAAAAATCAAGAGATTTGATCAAAGACAAAATTGAACCAAATGCTAAGGATTCTTTCATTGAAAATAACAGCAGCAACTGCACCAGTGGCAGCAGCAAGCCGAGCAGCCCCAGCGTTTCCCCCTCGGTCCTCAGTCACACGGAGCACAGGAGGGGTCCTGAGGTCACCTCCCAAGGAGTGCAGACGTCCAGCCCCGGGTGTAAACCAGAGAAAGATGATAAAGAGGAGAAAAAAGACGCAGCTGAGTAAGTAAACCTGGCATTAGCATGTCCTGTTACTTAACTTTTTCTTAAGGTGTTCAGAGCTTTCCAACTCAAGAATTTATCTGGACTTTTAGCCTGTTTCATACGTAGCTCTCAGATTACAAACAACTTGTCCAAACAAATGACATCTTACGTAAGTAAATTAAGTCATTGTATCCTGGACTCTTCTTCCCCATTTTTGCATCTCTTGGCAAAACAAAACAAAAAACCCTAGGCATAAATTAAGAACGCCTTTTCTGTAAATGTACAGGGAGTTGAAAACTACTGGCTTTTGGACCTTATTCCCTTGATGCTAGTTCATAGCCACCTCCTGGCTGTGTTGCCAGGAATAAGAACTGCCTTTGCCTGCAGGGGAGAGAAGTGTCTGGTGCCCCTACTCAGTTCACATTGTCCATCAGAAACAGTGTTTTAGTGAATGGTTAGATTTGTTAAGGTTGACTTAATTTTGCACATCCAGTATGTGTACTATCAATTAAATGGACTTCTGTAGGCTAGCCTCAGAGCCTAACTGAAGCACCATTGATTTATTGTTCTGGGCTCCATATCACCCAGGTACAGCTGAACTTTTGGAATGCAGCGTGTTGATAAATTGGGGAGGGCTTATTCTTGATTTGAGGCAGAAAATTTTTTATACTTTTCCTCAAGGTTTGTCATGTGGGAAACACTTTGTCACATAAAAAAATAGTGCATGCTAGGGAATTGATATGTTTGGGATTGAATTTCAGGATATTTTATAAGGACTACTACTGTCTTTTCAGTTAAAGTATTTATTGATTGCTTTTGAGAGAGACATTATATATTATACTTTTTATTTTTTATTTTTTCATTTTTTAAATATATTTTATTGATTTTTTACAGAGAGGAAGGGAGATGGATAGAGAGTTAGAAACATCGATGAGAGAGAAGCATCGATCAGCTGCCTCCTGCACACCCCCTACTGGGGATGTGCCTGCAACCAAGGAACATGCCCTTGACTGGAATCAAACCTGAGACCTTTCAGTCCACAGGCCGACGCTCTATCCAGTGAGCTAAACCGGCTAGGGCTATTATACTTTTTAAAAAACTTGTCCTTTTTTGGGCGGTCTCTACCAGATTAAGGAGTGGTAAATGTGTGTGTGTGTTTCATTTTTTAATATTTTAATTTTATTTTAACCCTCACTGGAGTATATGTTTCTACTGATTTTTAGAGAGAGACAGAAACATCAATGTGAGAAACATCAATCGGTTGCCTCCTGTACACATCCCAGCTGGGGATCAAACCTAGGTATGTGCCCTGACCGGGAACTGTACCCACAGCCTTTTGGTGTACAAAACAATGCTCCAACCAGCTGAGCAACCCAGCCAGGGCTGTGTGTGTGTTTGTGTGTGTGTTTAATATATTTTTATTTCAGAGGATGAGAGAGAGAGAAACAGCAAAGATGAGAGAGAATCATTGATTGGCTGCCTCCTGCATGCCCCACACTGGGGGGTTGAGCCTGCAACCCGGGCCTGTGCCCTGACTGGGAATCGACATCCTGGTTCAGAGGTCCACACTCATCCACTGAGACATGCCAGCCAGGCATTGTGTGTGTGTGTGTGTGTGTGTGTGTGTGTGTGTGTGTGTGTGTTTTAATGAAGTGGATTGATGATCTTCTAGTGAGAATTGTTTATATGTAATATGTGTTTAGCAATTTAAAAAAAAAACTGTCAGGTATAAGAGACTTCAGAGACACAAGTTCCATGCAGATTTCACTGGCATTTACATATTTGTTCTGGTTTAGGCAAGTGAGGAAATCAACATTGAATCCCAACGCAAAGGAATTCAACCCTCGTTCTTTTTCTCAGGTAAATTTATTTCCTCTTTGACGTCATTTATCCCTTAAAAAAAAATTTTTTTTCTTATTAGTAATATTTATTTTTTCATACCTGCCATCTAAATTCAGTTACAGTATGCTAAAACAACTTTGGTTTATGTTCCCTTTTCTTATGGTCACTAGATGTTTGAGCCAGAGGAAAAAGATCCTTGTTTTGTCATCAGTTAGACACTGTCTGGGCAAATCTTTCAGGCTTTTTGACTCAGAATTTGAAGATGGTTGGCTACGTGGTTGTGATCATTCTACTGACTTTAAAAGAAAATAGATTTATTTTTTAAATGTTGTAAAACTTCAGTTTCTTTTAAAAGTCACTGCCACTGTTTTTTAATAGCATTATTGAATAATTGGTGAAGTTTTACTTTAACTTATCTAGGTATTTTTCTTTTATTTGAAGTGTGTGAAGTTTATTTTTTATAAGTTTTTTCATTAAAAGGGACTAATTAAAAATGAGTAAAACTTAGAAAGATGGAGAAAATCAGTTTTCGGGTTGCAATAATAATGAGATTTTCATCTTAAGAGAGTCGATTTTTGTTTTTTTGCAGCCAAAGCCTTCTACCACCCCAACTTCGCCTCGTCCTCAAGCACAACCTAGCCCGTCCATGGTGGGTCATCAACAGCCAACTCCAGTTTATACTCAGCCTGTTTGTTTTGCACCAAATATGATGTATCCAGTCCCAGTGAGCCCAGGCGTGCAAGTAAGTCATAGAACTTGATGTTCACTTACTCTCCTTGGTTATTTGTAGTTGACAGCTGGTGACTTGAAGCAGCGGTGGCATAACAGAAGTATTTGAAAAGGGGAGACGCGCAGTGGTGTCATGTGTTGTTAGTGTGAGGAGCAAAGTCTGAGAATGTTCCTGGTGAGGAAGATGATTTAGATTTACTGTAGTTTGGGGTTTGTGGATGTAATTTTTTTTTTTTAATGACTCAGAATTAGGAAACCTCAGACCTAGCTCTCTAGCAATATACAATTGAGAGAATGGTAAAATGTGTTCTTATTATCTTGAGAGCCTAATTTTCCTTTTTTTTTTTTAATCCCTCAGCCATTATACCCTATACCTATGACGCCCATGCCAGTGAATCAAGCCAAGACATATAGAGCAGGTAAAGGTGAGAATAATCCTGCCTGTGTTTGCTTGTAGTCTGCATGATGCATGTATTAAGTAACTCAGTTTATAATGAAGAAATACTTGTGGTTCAGCTTTGACTTTTTTTTTTTTAATATATTTTATTGATTTTTTTACAGAGAGGAAGGCAGAGAGATAGAGAGTTAGAAACATCCATGAGAGAGAAACATTGATCAGCTGCCTCCTGCACACTCCCTACTGGGGATGTGCCCGCAGCCAAGGTACATGCCCTTGACCGGAATCGAACCTGGGACCCTTGAGTCCGCAGGCCAACACTCTATCCACTGAGCCAAACCGGTCAGGGAAGCTTTGACTTTTGATGATCAGCATTGCTTAAGGTATTCAGATGCATTACTAACAAAATGGGAGGAGAAATATTTATCAGTTGTGATTATTCAGGTTCTTAAAAAAAAATAACTGACTTTTGCAGTTTTTCAATGTTAAATTTAAAAAGAGTGTTTGCTAAATTAATTTACCAAGGTTCCTGACATTTTTATTTTATACTAATGTATAATTTCCCCCCCCAGAATCCAGAATTTCTTTTAAAGCACTGGGCAGCTCATTTTAGAAACCATCAAAATCCCACTAGAAGGGTGTTTCCTCATTTTTAAAATGCGTGTTTTCCTTCATAGACAGAGGCAAAGGGGGTGGTGGGTGGAGGTAGAAGAGGGTAAAGGGGGATAAATGGAGATGGATGGAGACTTGACTTGGGGTGGTGAACACACAATACAATATACAGATGATGTGTTTAGAACTGTACCCCCCAAATCTATATAATTTTATTAGCCAATGTCACCCCAATAAATTCAATATGAAATTTAAAATGTTATATAATCTAGCATTATATGCTTGTGTGATTAAAGAGCCTTCATAGAAGAAAACATTTATCTATTAACGTTGAAAAATGCCCAGAGGGCCTCCTTTTTTGAGGAGGTAATTGAGGATAATTAATAGCTATAATTTTACTGAGAAACAATAGAAAATTTAGTGATTTGTATAAAAGAGACATATCTCAGTGCCCTCTCCCACCATGTTTTAACTCTCATGACATAAAAATTTCATGTCTTACATTAATAAGCTTTCCTCAGTATTTGAAGTAATTGTACTTTTGTGGATGCTGATAATTTAAATTTTTAATAGTTTTTGTTTGTTTTTACACATATGATATCCTTTATCTTTGCTTCAAAACACTGGATCCTGTTGAAGTTTTACCTAGTTATTGGTTAAACTTATGCTGAGGGCCTGAAAATTTGAGGGAAGAAAAGTGTTTTTTAGTGCCATTTTGAATGAGGTTAATTTTAAGATGTTCATATATTGCCACCTGGTGTTGCTATTTTAATGATTACTTAAAGCAATGAAATGGGAATGTTTTTATGTTAAAACATAAAGGATTATTGGAGTGGAAGCCAGCACTACCGTGCAGCTCTCTGGTGGGAGAGGTGCGCTTAATTCTGGAGGCCCTGTAATAGAGGAGAAATTATATCTGCCGAGGGCACTGATAAGATAGAACAGGCACTGCAAGGAGCATCAGCGGTAAACAGGTACTGTGCTAAGAAGATAGGGGATGACTAGATACCAGCTTTGTCCATCATTCAGATTCTACTATTAAGATTTTGTGCCCTGGTCGGTTTGGCACAGTGGATAGAGCGTTAGCCTGCGAACTGAAAGGTCCCAGGTTCGATTCCGGTCAGGGGCACAGGCCCGGGTTGTGGGCTCGATCCCCAATGGGGGGCTTGCAGGAGGCAGCTGATCTATGATTCTCTTTCATCGTGGATGTTTCTATCTATCTCTCCCTCTTCCTTCCTCTCTGAAATCAATAAAAAATATATTTTTTTAAAGAACAGATTTTGTTATATTTACTTGAGCTGTGCTTTGTATCTTTGCATATTTAACACAAAGCGCAGACATTATACCATTTCATTCATACTTAGTGTCTGTCTGCTTAAAGTATGAAAATCTTTTTTAGATATTTTAAAATAGCTCAACTGATTAAGGGGTCAGGTAGTGATAGCCTGATTCTCTCCTCCCCAATTGTAAAGTTTTCTATTGATTTTTCATCCAATTCATTAATGATTGACGCTTAACATCATTTTTTAAAAATTAGGGGTGTGTTGCCGAAACCGGTTTGGCTCAGTGGATAGAGCGTCAGCCTGTGGACTGAAAGGTCCCAGGTTCGATTCCGGTCAAGGGCATGTACCTTGGTTGTGGGCACATCCCCAGTGGGAGGTGTGCAGGAGGCAGCTGATGGATGTTTCTCTCTCATTGATGTTTCTAACTCTCTATCTCTCTCCCTTCCTCTCTGTAAAAAAATCAATAAAATATTTAAAAAATATAAATAAAAAAAAATAAAAAAATAAAAAATTAGGGGTGTGGATCTCAAATTTTCTTGTGCATCAGAATCACTGGAGTATTAGTTTAAAACACAAATTACTTGGCCCTTTCCCCAGAGTTTCCAGTTTAGTCTGTTTGGGGCATAGCCTGAGAATTTGCATTTCTCGTGCAATTTATAAAACCATTGTCCAGGTGAGGCTGCTGATCTGGGACTGCTATACTCTGAAAACCACTATAATTAGGAGTTTGAAAATGGTGTATTATTACATTTCTTCTCCATTTATTAACTAGAATCATTTTGTGAGGGACTCTTCTTTTCAACAAAGGCTATTTGATTATCCTGAAGAGTTTGTACAGAAAAGTTAGGGTAAATGCTTACAATTAAGTGCTGAAAATGGGCCTAAGTGCCAGTTTTCAGTGGTGAGTTGGTGCCCTTGTTGCTTTCAATAGTGTCCAGTGAAAATGTTTTTGGGGTGGGTTTGTTTGTTTGCTTAAGGATGGATGGAGCTCTCATCCCCCAACCCTGTTTTATTCTTATTTTTAAAAAATTATGAATGCTGCATAGGTTTTCATATACCTTTGTGTATTCATTGTGTTTGAGTCAGTTGATTATCCTTACTTCTGCTCCCATTGATTGTCCTTTGACAAATGGCAATCCCTTCACATTGGCTCCCAGGTCCTTTTAGTGCTCATCTTTTTCTTTTTCTTTTTCTTTTTTTTAAATATATTTTTTATTAATTTCAGAGAAAGGGAGAGGGAGATAGAAACATCAATGATGAGACTCATTGATCAGCTGTCTCCTGCACACCCCCCACGGGGGATCAAGCCAGCAACCCAGGCATGTGCCCCTGACTGGAATTGAACCCAGGACCCTTCAGTCCACAGGCCGATGCTCTATCCACTGAGCCAAACCAGCTAGGGCTAGTGCTCATCTTCTTCTTATTCTTTTTTTTTTTTTTTTTAAATATATTTTATTGATTTTTTTACAAGAAGGAAGGGAGAGAGATAGAGTCAGAAACATCAATGAGAGAGAAACTTCGATCAGCTGCCTCCTGCACACCCCCCGCTGGATATGTGCTCGCAACCAAGGTACATGGCCTTGACTGGAATTGAACCTGGGACCTTTCAGTCCACAGGCCGACGCTCTATCCACTGAGCCAAACCGGTTAGGGTAAGTGCTCATCTTCTTTACAAATAGTGCTTATCTTCTTTACAAATAAAGTATCTGAGGCTAATTTTCAAATCTTAAACCCAAATCAGTATTCCTCCAAGGAACCCTGATTCATTTTGCTGGGAAATAGTATGTAGAAACCATTTTCTGGTCATTGGATATGCTTATTGCTATTGAATTATTGCTTCTGAGCCTTTTCAGTGGACAAACCTGGGAAATACCACTTTTTTTTCTTTTAAAAAATTCAGCAACCCATATTGATATATCTAATTCAAGTTAATTTTGCAAGGTTTTTACTCTCTTTGCTTGCATCTTATTCTCTTACACCAAAAACTGGTAAAAATAATAACTCCATTATCTATCTTTCAACAAATTACTGCAAAGCTTAGCTGTCTAAAACAACAAACATATTATTTCATACAGTTTCTGAGGGTCAGTAATCCAGGAGTGGCATAGCCAGATGGTTCTGCCTCTCAGTGTCTTGGGAAGCTTCAGACAAGATGTCTGAATGTTTAATTTTTAATTTTAAAAAGGATGGTAAACTTGACTCGCGTTTTAAATTTGTTTTAAAATATAAGGGTCATAGTATGTATCAAAAGTAAGAGTGGTAAGTAAGCTTAATTAGACAAACTTTCACTTGATAAAAATGATACTCGATTTTTGGGTGGCTTTTCTATTCTAAAAGATGCTTTTTTGAGCACTGGTGGGTGGCTCAGTTGGTTGGAATGTCGTCCCATACACCAAAAGGTTGTGGGTTTGATTCCCAGTCAGGACACATACCTAGGTTGTGGGTTCAGTCTCCGATTGGGGCAAACACAGGAGGCAGCCTGTTGATGTTTCTCCCTTTCTCTCTCTCTCTCTCTCTCTCTCAAATAACTAAACATATCCTGGTGAGGATTTTTTTAGAAAGATGCTTTTTTGATATGGGAAATCTCAGAATTAAATTCAGAAAAATATTACTGTATTGGTTTTCAAGTTTGCTCTTCTAAGTAGATAAAATGTGTATAACTGGTTCTCCTAAATTTCAGCAACAATCATATTTTTAGCAAAAAATTCAAATATTTAAAATAAAAACCAAATTTTATCTCTAAACTAGCAGCTACTTACATTAATAGTTCTGATGACTTTATGAACATACTAAGTTATACTTTTTGTACCTCATACCTATTGTAAGCAGTGGTTCATGATTCCTTCCCTCAAATGGCTTGTTTAACATCATAGCATAAACCTATCACAGAAAACAGTGCTGCAGTAGAACGAGAGGGAGAGGCACAGAGCTTGCAGCTGATTCCTTTAGCAGGCGCTGGGAAGGACATTATAGAGAAAATGGCATTTGAGCAGAATTCTTTTTTAAAAATATATTTCATTGGTTTTTTACAGAGAGGAAGGGAGAGGGATAGAGAGTTAGAAACATCGATCAGCTGCCTCCTGCACACTCCCTACTGGGGATGTGCCTGCAGCCAAGGTACATGCCCTTGACCGGAATCGAACCTGGGACCCTTGAGTCCGCAGGCTAACGCTCTATCCACTGAGCCAAACCTGTTAGGGCTTGAGCAGAATTCTTAACTGAAGGGCTCTAGGCAGATATCTGTGTGGAATAATAAAAGACATAAATTAATTTTTAAAAAGAGCTATTATTTGGAAACTTGCTACAAGATAGTGTGTGATTCTGTGTTTGGGAAAGATTAGGAAATTGTGGGAGAATTCAGTGGTGGGAAATGAAGAAAGATGGAGTTAAGATTAGTGTTGGGTGTGTTTTGGCTTTTTGGTGTATGCCTGTTTTTCTTTGAATAAATCCATTGCCCTTCTCTAGCAAGTGGCATAATTTGGTGTTATAAAACGGGTTATTTGAGAAGTAGTATGAAGGAAACACTTCATAGTGCGGTCAAGTTTGGAGACTCATCATAGAAGGTCTCTCTAAGGAAGTTGCTTTCAAGCTGACACCTGAGAGACAAGTCAAAATGACCAAAGCTGGGAACTGGGTGGTTGGTGTTTGAGGTTGAGGAATAGCACGTATGATGGCCAGACAACCCAGAGTAGCTTTGGTGGGCGTGGGGTGACACAACTGGCATTGGGGAGGCAAGCCGGATGCTAGTTCCTGCAGAGCCTTGTGGACCATGTGCGTGTGTTTGTGCCACGCGATGCTGTTCTCTTACACTGGTTTCTTCTGCAGTACCAAATATGCCCCAGCAGCGGCAAGACCAGCATCATCAGAGCACCATGATGCACCCCGCCTCAGCGGCAGGCCCGCCAATTGTGGCCACCCCACCAGCGTATTCCACACAATACGTTGCCTATAGTCCTCAGCAGTTTCCAAATCAGCCTCTTGTTCAGCACGTGCCCCATTATCAGTCTCAGGTAAGGCCGATGGGACTCATAATTTTTGTTCATTTATATAACTTCTAATTTCACTTTTAATATGGTAGAGGGGTTTGGGTTTCCCTTTATATCTGGTGCTTTTTGTTATGCTGTGGTTGGTAGTTAAGGATGGGGGTGCTTTTTAATATATATTAGAAGGTTGTTGGTCATTTTAAATATTTCAAAAGAAATAGCCAAGAAAAGCTTTAGATTTTTCAGAGTTGTTTTCAGAAACCTGGACACCGTGGGGTTGAGACATGTAACTAAAATCTGCTTGAGTGAGTCTGGTGTTTGAACGTGTGCTCTTTATTTTGTCTGTGAACGCAGCACCCTCATGTCTACAGCCCTGTGATACAGGGCAGTGCCAGGATGATGGCCCCAGCGGCCCACGCCCAGCCGGGCCTCGTGTCTTCCTCAGCCGCTCAGTATGGGGCTCACGAGCAGACGCATGCGATGTATGGTAGGAAGCACTTTGTCTTTTTCAACGTGTGACTATTCTTAATGTGTTTTAAAGCTTTGAAAAGTTACTCTGTTTAAGAATAACTTGGCCTTTTAATGACATTGAGGGTAAAGAATCTAAAGAAAAGATGGACCCATTTTTATCTCTTACCAGCTTTAAGCCTTGGCCAATTATTTCTACTTTTGTTCCTGAAATTCCTCTGTTTAAGTGTCTCTCCTTTAACTAAATGTAATGATGTGTGTAACAGAAGCATCTTTTGTGGAGAGAGGTATCTTTCTTCTCTTCCTCATCAGTATTATCATTTGATGTGCCCTGCGCAAGGCATGCGAGGAAGTTCTACCAAAATGGAAGCCGTGGCCAGCACTTCACCTCTTCCTCGGGGTCACTGGCTTTGCATATTTCTATTGCTTTTTGTTATAACGCTACTAGAGGCCCGGTACACAAAATTTGTGTATTGGGGGGGGGGGGTCCTTCAGCCCCACCTGACCTGTGCCCTCTCGCAGTCCGGGAGCCCTTGGGGGATGTCTGACTGATGGCTCAGGCCCACTCCCCACGGGGAACAATAGTCGGACATTCTTAGCACTGTCACGGAGGCAGGATAGGCTCCCGCCACCACCACTGCGCTCACCAGCTGTGAACCCGGCTTCTGGCTGAGTGGCACTTCCCCTGAGGGAGTGCACTGACCACCGGGGACAGCTCCTGTATTGAGTGTCTGCCCCTTGGTGGTCAGTGCATGTCATAGTGACCAGTCCTTCGGCCGTTCGGTCGATTTGCATGTTAGCCTTTTATTATATAGAATTGTGTTTCTGCATCATGCTGTATTTTAACACATTGTTTGCGGGTAGTTTTTATCGCGCACTAACAGGTGGCGCGGGCCATTTTTGCTAATTTTTTGCGCAAATGGCAACGTTCAGTAAAATTACGATAACTTTAGTTTACGAATTTATACGTTACCCGCATTCTACCGCTAGTCTATAAAAAACGTATTAATAAGTGTCCCGCGCCCTACTACCTCCAGTCAACGTAAAACGTATAAATACGTTTCCCGCATACAATGTGTTAAGTGGTCGAAATTGTATAGTATTAGGTCTGCTTTAGACATTTACACTTCAGGTGTAATCAATTTTAAAAATGGTAAAATGAAAATATTCTATAAAAATTAAATATATATAAGAATAATTAATAATAAGCAAAAATTACTGTCTTAGTTTTATTGCCAGAGAACTTTGTACAGGTTAATTTAGCAGCTTTCTAAAGCTCTAAAAAAATATGGTTTTCAGTGTTGAGATTTAAAACAGATTTCCACTTATATCTTGTGTAATATAAAATTAATGGGTGTTCCTATATTTATGTTTTTAAAATGCATCTTAAGTACCAGCCTTATTAAGAAGTAGGTTTTGTTTTTTGCACTTTTCTGAGGTTTTGGCATTTCCGTTTTTTGGAGTGTGAGAAGAGAGATGTAAGTTTCTGCATACAATTGAAAAGAATTCCACTGAGAATGAAATTACAATTACATGTAACTACATGGACATTTCATTTTTTAAACCTCTTTCAACTCTTTGAATGACTAGGAATGTAAAGATTTTCATGTTTCTAGCTTTAGGTAACAGTTTATAACATTTAGAGGTTAATAGGCATCCTTCTTGTCACCCGGAACTCGGCACCGTGCCTCTGTCCTGGAGGGGCTCCTGTCGCACAATTGAGACTCCACGTGGTTAAAGGCACTATTGTTACCAGTGAGAAGTCGATTTTACTTTTCTACATTATCACTTAAAGCTTTAAGTAAAAGCGATGTAATTGCTACATTTCCTTCAAGAAGCCCACCCATAATTTAATTGAGAAATAAACTGACAGACTGATTTCACTTATGATTTTGGTTATGATCTCCTGTCGTTGGCTTGTCTTCAGTTGTCTTAACCAGACTAAGTATGTACAGAAAGGCCCCATTGATTCCTACACTGGCTTTTATGCGATTTGTATATATTTCAACTCTTCTCCACTTCGTTAAAGGCTTAGGTGAAAAGTTTGTTATGATTATTTTATGTTTCTGCTGAATACATCAGGATTTAACAAGTGGAAAAAACATTTCTTTCCTTCCATTTTCTCGCATCCTCCTCGTGGAATAAGATCTGAAACTTTTGAGCTAAAATTTCCATTGCTTTTAGGTAATCGCTGTTTGTGCACCCATGATTTTGAGACTTTGTAGCAATACTGTGATGTTGTGCAGGATCTCTCTCCTCAATCCCAACATCTGGCTTTGACTTTTGGATGGATATTCATTGGTTGGAAAAAACTTCATTGGTTTCAAACAGCCTCTAGTGGTTTTTATGCTTCCCCAGAACATTTTCATTTGAAAAGCACTTGACCTTGGACCCTGAAGTCCATTCAAGTTTGGGTAAATAGGAAGTATTGCAAACAAAACAAATCACTAGACTTAATGTACTAGTCATCAGAGCCAGTTCTTTAGTGCTCAGCCAGGTCTGAACTGCCCTCCTGCATTTTACCCAGGTTGTGTTACATTGATGTCTGTTGATGAGGGCTGGCTAGGGGCAAGGCTGTGAACTTGGTATGATTGTTACTGGTTAATTGAGGTTTTCTTAGATACTTCATACCTTAAAAAAGAACACTAGGGAATTATTTTGTTCTTTGCTGTCATAAACCATAATTTTAATCTGCTAAAACAAGTTTATTATTAATTCTTCAGTCATTTAGATATTCTAAATCCTAATTATGCCAAATACAAATTTTAAGTGTTATTTTAAACTAAGACAAAACTCTTACATAGAAATATAATTGTGTACTCATCTCCTTTGAGTACAATATTTATATATTGTATTCCCAAAGGAACCAAATATTTTGAGTATGAAGTTTGTGTTTAAGCAACATCCTACCTAGATTTTTAAAACTTTTTATGTAAACAAGAATATGTACCCAGATGTTAGTGACAGCTATGTCACCTTTTGATCATTAATTGGTCATAGGCAAAGGCTTAGAGAATAGAATGAGAGACTGATTATTGTTTTTAAATTTTTGGTATATTTAATATAAATATGCTAACAAATTACTGAATAGTTAATTATTAGGATATATGTATATGTATATGTATACGTATATATTCTAAGTAATTGTTGACCTTGTCTCTTTGTAGCTCTCTTAAAAAGGACTTTGATCACAAACTTCATCTCTTTGATCTTAAACTAACTTTTATCCTTGACTCTGCCCCCTCCCTCCTAAGAAGTTACCTTTTGTTTCCTTAACATCTAGTTTTCTAATTCATCTCCTTTGTTTTATGGCAGTGTTTTATTTACCTTTCAGAAATAGTTCTGAGACTTTCTCTACGGGAAGAGTTAGATCCAGAATCCTTTTTTTGGTTTGTTTTTGGTAATTTAATGCAGATATATTGGAAAATATAGTAGGCAAAAAGATTTAAAATGCATCTATTGTCCCTCCACCTGACAACACCTGTTAACATTTTGGTGCATATCCTTTCAGCCGTATTTAAACGTGCGCGCGCGCGCGCACACACACACACACACACACACACACACACACACACACCCCTTTATGTAGTCATTGTAATAAGAAATGATATACTCATGTTTAATATTGCTATTATGTTTTTAAAATTTGGATCCAGTTTCAGATGCCTAAAAACATCTTCTGTTAATAATGACTTACAGAATTGTTTATCTTTTGAATTAAACTTGTGTAATTTTTATTTTGGTACATTTTTGATATCAAGATTATTCAGTGGAATGCCATGTTGGTCTGTTTATTAGATAATAATGTTATTCCTTTTATTTAAGCAAGTCAGCCTGCAGAATTTGACATTCCAGTACAGAAGAAAAGTGTCTTTTTGTTCAGCCTTCTCTTATTTAATTTTGTAGCAATGTTTAAAGTGCTTGTCATCTCTTGTAAAATAAGAATGAATTATGCATGAATAAAATAAGAAATTACTAAATATGTCAACCTTTCCAGAAAATCAGGAAAATGTAGACCTCAAAAGCCTAATTTACCTTTCTATTTCCCAAATTCAGCATGTCCCAAATTACCATACAACAAGGAGACAAGCCCTTCTTTCTACTTTGCCAGTGAGTTGGGTTTTTTATACTAATTTTAATTAAACAGTAAAACACTTTTTAAAGAATACACGTTAAGGGAGTAGACTTGTTGAACAATATTTTCCTTGTGCCAGACAAAATATTAAAGATATGTGTACCTGTAAATAATTCAGAGCTTTAAAAAAGAAATACAACCCAGCTCAAGAAAGCTGGGTTAAAAAATTCAGTTGTTTCAGAAATTAATTTTTGCATACCAAGCAAACATGTGACTGTTTTGGAAATGCCTAATATTTTCCTTGTGTGAAAAACTTTTCCTGAATCACTTTTTTTTTTTAACCAAGCCACAAACTTAGTATTAATAACAAGAACAACCACAACTTTAAAACGTTAGTTTTTCTAATATTCTGGTAAGAAACTTATTCTTACAAGGATTTTGAATTGAATAGGATGGAAAAACTAGGGGGAAACATTTCTGTCTTTTTAATCTTTGCATGACTGAAGGTTTAAAGTATTTGTAGCAGACACCTCGGGATGTCTTAAGCTTAAGCAGGAAAGCATGACCTAGCAGAGATTATCTTTGGCAACACTAGCCCCTCTTACCTCCAGTGAAAAGGTAAATGATTGCTCCTAAAGGGAGAAAGTCTGGACAGAGCTTTCTTTTGGAAATGAACTTGGAAGGTGTGTTTTCTCTATTTGTAGGGCAATTTTTCAATAAAGCTAGTCATGGACTTTTGGTTTTGAATAAAATGGCACTAACTTGCAGAAATCCTTTAAAATTTTATGCCAGTAATGTGTCACTTTATGTGAAATATATATTCTAGGAAACATTAAAATTTTACTTTAGGGACTAAATTTTGAATTATTTTAGAATGACTCAATGTCTGAATCTACTAAATGCCAGATTTTAAAAAGCATTTAGAAAACATTTGACTTAACATTTTTATTAATTGTGCCATGACTTGGTATCCAAAAATAAGTGTATAAATATTATTTATGTGGTGCTAGGAAATGTTAACAAATTTAATCCTTTAATAGATGCTCTTTAAAAAGGAGTCTTGCTGTATATATACTATTAAAGGGAAACTGTTTGTAATATAGTTATGTAAAAGACAGTGTCAGTAATTTTATTATGTACTCAGTTTGAGGTCTCAAATGTAGTTATCCTCACCATCTTACTGTCTCTGTTAGTTTTGGAGTCCGTTTCCTGGTAAGTGGCTAAAAGGTCCTTAATCATCACACCTAAGCATTAACTGCTTCAGCACAGCTTCTCTTAAAAAGGAGTGTCAGTCTTTTTAAAAGAAACTAACGGTGAGCTGCTGTTTGTAATTTAATTTGCTGCCATTTTGTCATGGTTTTGGTCTAGTTGACTTTTACTCCCCTTTTAAAGAGTTTTCAGCTTTCCTTCACTTCCTTTTTTTCTAAATTTAACATCAAATTTAAAAGTTGGAAGATTTTGTTTTGCTTTGTTTAGTTTTTAAAGTTTTGCAGTGCTGGTGATCTCTCATGACTTGTGCATCCAAGGTCAAAATGAAAACACCTACTTGCAAATTACACACGCAGGACTGAATTGGCTTCAGTAAGATCATGGCTTAGGAAACTATTTTTGGAATGTGGTTAGTGCTAGGAGGATTTGAAAAATCATGTCTTTATAGTTTTGAACATTTGTATCAAGGAACACAGCAAGTAGGAAACTTCTGGACCAGGTCTGGCCAAAAAAAGGGATACTTCTTTGGTTTGCTTGACATAATTCAGGTTTCATGAAGGCAACTTAAGTTTTATAAATAGAAGTGTTTAACTGATGAATAGCTAAGTCAAGCTGTTGAAGAAAATTCACTTTATTGTTAACCTGTCTGAAATCTTTAGCTAAATTAATGAGCATGTATAATAAAAGCAGTTAAATGATACACTTAGTAACCCTCAGAACTTACTGCCCTTTGCTCTCCACTTCTTTTTCTCAGATTCTGTTATATTTTTTTTCTCATTTACTCTACGTTGGTTCCCTTTCTCTTGTCTCTCTTTTTTTTTTTTTAATACTTTTTAAAAAATATATATTTTATTGATTTTTTTACAGAGAGGAAGGGAGAGGGATAGAGAGTTAGAAACATCAATGAGAGAGAAACATCGACCAGCTGCCTCCTGCACACCCCCTGCTGGAGATATGCCGGCAACCAAGGTACATGCCCTTGACCGGAATCGAACCTGGGACCCTTCAGTCCGCAGGTCGATGCTCTATCCACTGAGTCAAACTGGTTAGGGCTCTCTTGTCTCTTTTCTTTCCAATTATTTCCCCCCCTCAGCCTTTTTTTTTTTTTTTTTTTTTTTTTAATCCTCACCTGAGGATATGTTCATGTATTTTTTAATTGATTTGAGAGAGAGAGGGAGAGAGAAACATTGATGTGAGAGAGAAACATCAATTAGTTGCCGCCAGTACATGCCTTGACCAGGGATCAAAACCAAAACAAGGGCATGTGGCCTGATCTGGGATCTAGCCCACAACATTTTGGTGGAAGGAACAATGCTCCAACCAACTGAGCCACCCTCTCAGGCTTTTAATTTTCCTTCTGTCCATCTTTTTTTGGTCTCATTCTTCTGGCCTTTCAAGGAACCAAACTACAGGTTGTCCCCCCAAAATGTACACACACTTTAACAGCTGATAGCTCAGTTTTGAAAATGAAATGCATTTTAATAAGGACTGCTTTATAATTATTCAAAGTGTGTATCCATTTTTGGGAGGGACACCCTATATATTTTTGTTGTTATTTGTATTGAATTAATTAGCTAGCCACTCAGTTTTTGTATTTGAGGAAGAAAAGGAGTTCATGGATAAGGTACTTGCTTTATATCTTTTAAGCAAGAAGAAACTAACCAAGTGAAAATATTTCTAATTAAACTTTAAATTTTGCCGAAACCGGTTTGGCTCAGTGGATAGAGCGTCGGCCTGCGGACTGAAAGGTCCCAGGTTCGATTCCGGTCAAGGGCATGTACCTGGGTTGCGGGCACATCCCCAGTAGATGTGCAGGAGGCAGCTGATCGATGTTTCTCTCTCATCGATGTTTCTAACTCTCTATCTCTCTCCCTTCCTCTCTGTAAAAAATCAATAAAATATATTTAAAAAAAAATAATAATAAATAAATAAAAATAAATAAATAAATAAATTGTATTTGCAGCTTATGAACTATAGATTACATCTACTTGATTTTTCTCATATACATTGCAGTTTACCGGTGTTTAGGGTAGGAAAAGGATGGGTTTTTTTATTGATTTCAGTGAGGAACAGAGAGGGAGAGATAAAAACACCAAGAATGAGAGAGAATCAGTGATTGGCTGCCTCCTTCACGCCCCACATAGGATTGAGCCCCTGCCCCAGGCATGTGGCCTGACTGTGAATTTGATCCGTGACTTTCTGGTTCACAGGTTGATGCTCAACCACTGAGCCACACCGGCCAGGCAGGATGGGTTGTTTTTTTTTTTAAAAAACAAAAACCTATGTGGGTGTACGCAGATTAGTTGAAGTATAGTACTATGAAGGCAGATGAAATATAGATTTGATTACTTTATAGGCTTTAAATAATTGGTAAACTATCACAGAGATGCCCTTTAAAAATACATAATAAAATATATTTTATCTTTAATTTTCTTCAAATAACTTTAAGGTTTTTAACATTTTTCTAATTGATGAATAATAATTATCAGACTTTATGGGCACAGTCTCTTTGTAATGGTCATGCTAGAGTTTGTGTTTTTATTGTTACTTTTAATTTTCTTAATATATTGGTTTAAGATAATTAAAAGTAAAATTTAAAACTTTTTAGTACAAAAATTTCTTGAACAAATAAAGTTTATAAAAATAGGAACTCTGAGATTCTGTACTCTATGAGATCTCATGAATAGAATTTGGGATTAGGGATTGCTTTTCCCCAGACAGCCTTGGTATTGCTGCAAATGAAACATTTGAGAAGCTTGGAGGCAGGAAGTGTGAGTGACTAGACAGCGCTGTCCAATAGGACGTCCTATGGTGATGGCCTAGTGCTGTCTCACCAGCCGCTTGCTGCATGTGGCTGTTTTAGTCATTTAAAAATAAATTTGAGAGGCGGGTTGGAGGGTGTGGAGGAAAAGGGACATCTGTAATACTTTCAACAATAAAATATAAATTAAAAATAAAATGAATACATTTGAAAAATAAGTAATATTTTTACAAGAACAAAGATTAGAAATTTATGTCAAATCTTTTAGTCCAAGTCCGTGCCTAGATAATTTGAGGGGATCTGAAAGTCAGCTTACTGAGTGTGCTGGTGAAGAATGGCCTGTAATAAGCCCGTAAATGAGGAGAAAGACTACTTTCATAGACTTTCGAAGTAGGAAAGCAGTTAGCACATTATTTTTCTGGATCCCAGAAAACAGTCACTGAGTCTTCTTAAAGAAAACACCCAGAGAAATATGATATTGTATGTCAGCTATACTTAAATTAAAAAAAAAAAGTCTGTTAAAAAGAGGAACAAAATACACCCAGAGAATGTTACCACGGTTTTCCTTGTTAATATGTTTCAGTGTATGGTAACTCGTACAAGTTAGGGAACTTTCCCAATCTATAAACGAAAGTGTTTTCTGTGTTTTCTTTGTTTAATCTGCTCTGGCACACCCCCCTGCCCCCTGTGGTGTTGGCAGTTGGATGCACAGGTGGTCCTAGCACTGGCTCTTTGCCTTGCCCTTGCCTCTTTTAAAAGATACATATGCAGTTGGAGAGAGGACCAGTTGGGCTGGAATGTTGGTGGCCCTGGGCCTACAAGGTCAAGCATTCCAGAATTGCTGTGTGTGTCTAATCCTCTGCATAACATTGACGTGGGACTCACCCAGCGGTATTTATCCTGGTGACCTCACAGCCTTGCCTGTTAGAATGCTGGAGTCCGGGTGCCTGATCCCAAAGCAGTGCTTACTTCAGCCCCCATCTGTCTGTGTATGTTTGGGCTTGGCTTCTCAGGGATCTGAGGAGGAATTTGAGAGAAGGCTGGAAGCCACAGGTTGCTAGAACGCTGTCCTCTGCTCATTGACACGTCATGATTTGTGTTTGTATCAGTTTGCTGTTGATAGTCACAAAGCAATTAACCCATCTTACTGTGCTTTTGATTCTCAAATTGCTCTTTTAGAAAGAGGTGAATAGATGCATCTATACCTAATCTCCCTGTTTTATACCACGATATGGTTCATGCTAAGATTCACAAAGAACTGGCTTTGAGTTCTTATCTTTAATGAACATGTTTTTACTTAAGTTGGCTCATCATGTTTTCTCTGAAGTTACTCTAACTAGTCACATTCTTTCTAAGGCGGAGGTGCTTTGAAGAGACTCCATTTTCTACATAGTTTAGGTAGTTCTATACTGGATTCTTACAAAGCAAGGTGAGAGATTGCTGAACAGGGAGGGCCCAGGTGGCTTCTGTGAACAACTGAGAATTGTGGTCATTGGCCCTAAAGATAGAGCCTTGTCTTTGCTACATTCCTTATCCAGCCCCTCATTCCCAGTCTGTGCCCATGGGACACTGCCCCAGCTCCAGGGCAGTAGCATGGTGAGGGTAGCCAGATGATGGCCTTGAGCTAAAGTGCGTGCGTGCGTGCGTGCGTGCGTGCGTGCGTGTGTGTGTGTGTGTGTGTGTGTGTGTGTGTTGGGAGGGCGGGGTGGGGAATACTGTTTGAATTGTTTCTGCCTTTGTTAAGTTACCTTTTCAGGAAAACCAGTAATTGTTTTAAGAATAAATTTAAACTATATAATGTGTACAGTTGTGTTACCAGAAATAAAATGCTAATCTGATTGTTAAGCAATAACTTCATACTTAATTTTTCATGATAATTGATGGTTAAATGAAGTCAAATGTAGAGATTGGTAACAACATAAGTTAGGCCTTGAGCATCAAGAAAGCTCATTTGGCGAGGCATAAGGAGCAGTTGGGATCTTCACCTGTGTCAGTTGTACACACTCCTTTTTTTTTTCACCTCAGTTTCCACTGGCTCCCTTGCTCAGCAGTATGCGCACCCTAATGCTACCCTGCACCCACATACTCCACATCCTCAGCCTTCAGCCACCCCCACTGGACAGCAGCAAAGCCAACATGGTGGAAGTCACCCTGCACCCAGTCCCGTCCAGGTGAGGAGAGACCCAGAGGTCTCCATGGCATTGCTTCCTCTTCTGTGCTAAGTGTTTCTTCCGTGCCAGGATTGGGGCCTGCGACTACGTGATCAGAACACCCAGCAGCCCAGTGCTGCCAGCGTGCATTCTGCAGACGATGCCCCTGGGGCTGGTTTTAAGTCACATTAAGAGAGATAAAAAGAATAAACATCAGCATTTAAAAATCTAATTTAACATAGATTAAGGAATTTGCTTGGGACTTTTTTTTTAATTCCCACTGTTTATATGATGGTTTTTTTGTTTCTTGAGTCACGTTTGTTAACGTTGATGGTTGGGTATTTCTGACATCTGTCGGCTCCGTGGGCAGGTCTTGCTTCACCTCGGCCATGCTGAGACTGGGGCTTATCCCAGAAAGGAGGTCTCTGAATGGGTCCCACCCTCTCTTAGCTCCCGGCTATTCTCCTGTGCTTGCTGTTCCCGCCCCCTAGATGCACCAGGTGGAGCCCATTTTCATGCACAAGGCTCAGCTTTTGTGCGGCCCTTAACTGTTTTTCATAAAAAAGGTGGTTTGCTTAATTAATTCTTTGTCACTTTGCAGCACCATCAGCACCAAGCCGCCCAGGCTCTCCACCTGGCGGGTCCGCAGCAGCAGTCAGCCATTTACCACGCGGGGCTCGCACCAACCCCGCCGTCCATGACACCTGCTTCCAACACGCAGTCGCCACAGAACAGTTTCCCAGCAGCACAGCAGACAGTCTTCACAATCCACCCTTCTCACGTCCAGCCGGCATACACCAACCCGCCCCACATGGCCCACGTACCTCAGGTAAACCAGCTTTAGCCAACTTTCTGTGAAGACCAAGTAGAATAGGAAGGTTATCAGATAAGCAGCCAAGAGCCGGATGCTCTCCAGGCTAGGAAACCCTGTGTGATTTGCCTGTCTCCCTTCTCCCGCTCAAATACACGTGATCTGGCCCTAAATGGATGTTTGTGTGGTTTTGTAATGGGGTCAGTGAAGTTGCTGATTGGTCAGTCCTTTAACGTTTTCCAGCTGAGACCGAGACCATATAAATATCTTTGACTCTGGAATGCAACCCGGTCCTCCTTCCCTTCCTGTGTCTGCTTTCTGTGTTTAAATAGCTTCATTGAGATATATATGTATGTCTCCATACATACACTCTCTCTCTCACACACATACTCACTCACTCTCTCTCTCTCTCTCTCTCTCTCTCTCTCTCTCTCTCTCTCACACACACACACACACACACACACACACAATATGAGGTGTGTGGCAGGGAAGATGGACCTTCACAAATTCTTAACTCTCTGGCTACCCTGGGCCTGTCAGCTTGAATGTTGGTCACATGGATCCAGAGAAATCTCTCCTGTTTTCTCTGGCTGTCCATACATTCGTCTTGACCATGTGTTGAACTGCTTAAGCGGCTTGCCCTTGTACATCGGTGCCGTGCAACGAGAGGCTGAGAGCACCCAGGTGTTCGCATTTTCTTAAAGAGCAGCTCTGGAAGCACTTTGGAGCTCATCTCCAGTGTACACTTTAAAGGTTGGAAGGTGCGGTTGCTGTCTCAGTGGTTGCTGTTTGCATCAGCTGCTGACAAAAGTCCGATGCTATCCAGGGCCAAGTTGGGTTGTCGTAAGGAGGCAGAGGACCTGCACTGAAGTTGGGCTCTAACACTGTCCTTGAGGCCCGCCCTGGAGCTGTGGAAGGCGAATTGGCTGTATTCGATGTCTCTTTTTGCTGCTTTCATAACAGCACTTAGGTGGGTCTGACTAGACTCCTCACTGAGCTCCAGTTCATGTCCAAGTGCACCCGAGGCTGGTGTGGGGCTGGAGAGGACACTCAGTGCGCTCTCGGGTGGCCGTGTCACAGACCCCCAGCTCCGGGAGTTGGCGCAGTGTGGCACTGCAGCGGATGGTTCGCTCTGGATGTGGGCGGGATTGCTGTGGTCAGTGTGGGCCAGCGTGGTTGGTTGGCTGGATCAGGAGCTTCATGAGAGCGGGGTCCTGTAGATGTCGAGCAGAGGCTGGTGGCTAAGTAGGTGTGTGAATATAGGTCGGGGTTCCTAAAACCTCACTTTTGTGTTTTTGTGCTGAAAGAGCAAAATGGATTAACACAGGGAAGCCAGATACGCCATGGGCCCTTTTGAAAATGTAAGATAATGAAAACAGCATTTCCTTCAGGCTTATCAGGGTCTGGAATTGTGCACGGTGTCGAAAGGGCTCTTCCTGGCCCTGCCAAAACCTTCCCAACTTGACAGTGAGACCAGGTCGAACTCACTGTCACTCGGTACAGGGACACGGGGCTGGACGGACTGTTTCTTCCTCTCCCCATCTCACTGGCGCCATTCCCCGCAACCTCCCCTTCCTCCTACTCCATCAGCGTCTCTTTCAGCAGAGCAGATTCTCTCCTCACTGCCCTGGCTCCTTCCCCACTGAGAGTGCTGCTGAGCAGGCAGGAAGTAGAAGGGCTGGGTGGGGGGCAAACAAGAAGAGTAATCCGTGGAACAGAATTTGACAAGTCTCCACTTACATAGTAATAATCTGCTTTCCTGTTTGAAAGGAACAGCCTTTGTAAAACTACTTCAGGCCCCTCATGGAAGCCAGATTCTCAAGCGTGATTGCTTCTCGCCTGTTACGTTGGACAGGTGGCCCTGGAGTCTGGTCTGAGCTTTGTATAGAATCACGTGATCAGAAATGAAGGCTAGGACACCACAGTCCTGATTCTCCCCGTGCTCTGTGGGTGTCTGTCCCCTCAGCCTTGCAGGATCGCTCTGCTAAAGGGCGAAGCATGTCTGTAGGGCAATTGATGTCCCACTAGGGAGTGTCCCCAGAGAAAAGAAGGGGCCCTGAGGGCCCACTGTTGCCCTTTCCTGAGAGCCCCAGCCCCTGAAAGGAACACAGTTAACATGTTGTTTAAGCTGGAGATGTTGCCTGTATGCGTAAAAGAGCTCTCTGTTTCAGGCTCATGTACAGTCAGGAATGGTTCCTTCTCATCCAACTGCCCATGCGCCAATGATGCTAATGACGACACAGCCACCCGGCGGTCCCCAGGCCGCCCTCGCTCAAAGTGCACTACAGCCCATTCCAGTCTCGACAACAGCGCATTTCCCCTATATGACGCACCCTTCAGGTGAGGCGTGTGTGTGCAGGGGCCGCCGGGCACCCCAAGCATTCTGCTCGCACAGGTCGAATGGCAGGCAGAGCCAGCGCTTCAAACCCTGCATTTGAGAACTAGCAAGACCCGTCAGTGTGCACAGTAGGGACTGTGACGATCAGTCAGTGTCAGGGCCTGAGGCTCCGGGCCGAGTCTGTGTGTGTTCTGATGGTCCAGGTTTGGCTTGAGGAGCAGCGGCAGCTGTGGAGCTGATGCTGCCTAGGACTCAGTTGGCCTTCCTTGTTACGACAGGCTGGGCAGGGCAGCGGTTTCCTTCCTGAGTCCCAGTCTGCGTGGGGGTTACCACCATGATAGTTTGATCGTAGCTCTGGAGAATACTGCTGATGAGCAGTGCTGTGTGTGGATCGGCTCTGTGTAGCATTCGCTCCAGCCTGCACCCTGACAGGGAGAGGCCGTGATTGTGCTAACACTTGAGACTGCCATGGCGTTCCTCTGAAAGCAGGACTGGTGCTTGGCTAATATTTGGGGAGGGGGTATGTTCCAGCCTGTTTCTCTACCCCATGAGCAACAAGTCTTCTGGGAGTTTTATCTGAAGTGGTTTTACGTCTTACTGGTTTGTTCTACCCCTCTTTCCCCTCCTCCCCCTTTGGTGCAGATGGGAGGGGGAAGTGAACTAAATTTTGAGTCCTGTTCAGCTAGCACAAGGATAGTTTACAGTCATGTGCTGCAGAGACACTAGGCTGATGTGCGGTGTTGCCAGTTTTCTGTTTAAATATTCACTTTTCTTTTTTACAGTACAAGCCCACCACCAACAGCAGTTGTAAGGCTGCCCTGGAGGAACCGAAAGGCCAAATTCCCTCCTCCCTTCTACTGCTTCTACCAACTGGAAGCACAGAAAACTAGAATTTCATTTATTTTGTTTTTTAAAAATATATGTTGATTTCTTGTAACATCCAATAGGAATGCTAACAGTTCACTTGCAGTGGAAGATATTTGGACCGAGTAGAGGCATTTAGGAACTTGTGGGCTGTTCCAATTCCATATGCTGTTTCCGAGTCCCGCAAGTACCCCAGCTCTGCTTGCTCAAACTGGAAGTTATTTATTTTTTAATAACCCTTGAAAGTCATGTATACATCAGCTAGCAAAAGTAACAAGAGTGATTCTTGCTGCTATTACTGCTAAAAAAAAAAAAAAAATCAAGACTTGGAACACCCTTTTACTAAACTTGACAAAGTTTCAGTAAATTCTTACCGTCAAACTGACGGATTATTATTTATAAATCAAGTTTGATGAAGTGATCACTGTCTACAGTGGTTCAACTTTTAAGTTAAGGGAAAAACTTTTACTTTGTAGATAATATAAAATAAAAACTTAAAAAAAAATTAAAAAATAAAAAAAGTTTTAAAAACTGATATCCAGTTAGTGTGTGTTTGTATAAGCTACTAGTTAATACCAAGGCAGGAAGGCTGTATTTTCTTAATATCCTGGAAGGTTAGTTGTCAAATGATTTTTCTTCTTCACCTTTAGTTCTGGTTCAAGGTATCTCTAGGAAAAGACAAGACTGAGATATTCTCTTTGGTGGATAGAGGTCCGCTTCAGAAGGAGGAAGGCTGGCCAGAGTTGGGCAGCATTGAAACTCCACACCCTCAGCCTGACGCTGATTCTGTAAGCTTCCTTTTCAATCCTCCTGAACCCAAATGAATGTCCTTAGCCAGGGGTCCTGATTCAGACATCTGTCTGTTTTACCAGTAGGGGGCAGGAGATACTTTTTAAAAAGCTGTGAATAAGATGATACACCTGAAACTGATATATGTCAACTGTAATTGAAAAATAAGAATTCATTTTTTAAAAAAAGAAAATTAAAACTGATAATCCGGAGGGCAGAAGAGGTGCAGTGATGTACAAAGCAGTTTACAGCTATAGACTCATAAGCACTTGTTAATGTCCTCAATTTATGGGAGGAGAACATAGGGAAAAGCAAGTGTTTGCGCAGGGCAGCAATTTCAGAGACCATAGTCATAATACACAGAGCTTTTAGATATTGTTGGCAACAAATCAATATTCTGAAAACATTTTTTAATTCACATATAGCAATTTATACATTATAGCAAAATTTGTTATTCAAGAATAAGTTACTTGTACAGTACATAAACAATATATAACAATTTGCCAAATACCTTCTTCTGCCTGTAATGATACAAGATTGAACCCATTTTCTGTGTTGTTACAATGTGGCTTATTCCAGCCCAACACTGGGTGACAGATGTGTCCTTGTTAGAGGCAGTGGAAATATACAAGTTCCTCTAACCTGTGGGAGATGTTAGAGCTCACATGACATTTGCAACAGGAGAGTTAGCCCTGAATAAAGCATGAAGGAATCTTAGGCAACCCTTAGGGAAGGGAAGAGTTCAAGGCCTTGATTTTATATATAAAAATAGTGTTTTGTGGTCTAAGATTTTAATGATTGCTATTCCTTTTTCCTACACGGTCCAGAAATGATCAGAGGCAGAAGATTTATACCAGATAAAGCCATATGGATTGCTGGTCTAAAATTCAAGGCAGGTTAGTTGACTTAATTCTTTGGTGCTGGTGACTGTTAGTTTGTAAAAGTTCGTTAAAGTCAGATTCAGGAGGTGACGGTGCTGAGAGCAGTCCCCTGGCTGTTGTCTGGTTGGAGAGAACTGCAGCGGTCGCAGTACTTACTGTCCCTTTGGCACTCACAGCCCGGCTTTCCGTGGAGGTGCTGGCTTGGCCTCTTGAGGCCAGCGTTGGTCACATCAGGACTGGAAGGAGGGTGGCATGTGGGCTAGCTGCGGCCAGCAGGGTCACTGTGAGGGATCAGCCCAGGGACCCACTGCTCCCTCTTCTCCAGCTCTGCCTGTTCTGGCAGAAAGGAGAGGCCTGGCTTAGGGTCACTCCTTCCCAGCTGAGGCGGGGCTTTCTGTCGGGATGTATTTGAGGTGTCCTGGTAACTCAGACACATTTGGAAAGGAAATATTTTCCTTGAACATTTATACTGGAGCAGCCTGGAGCGGTGACTTCCAGCTCTGTTAGAATCTGAGCTGGTATTTGGCAGCCAGTGGGTCAGAGCTGAGCCACTAGTTTCTGCCTCTTGGTACTACCTGAGACGTCTATGCTGAGACTGCTTAGAAGTGGGTGTCCCTGGCTTGAAGATGTCATGGCCCAGATGTGGAGGGAGGGGGGAGGTGTGTTTCATTGTATATTTTGCCCTTTTTCTGCACCAGTGACTTGTCAGCATGGACTTTCTGTGATGAGCTTTATCTTTTAAGAGACATTCAAAATAGTGCGTGCTCCTCTGGTTCATGCTTTGCTTAGCGAAACCTGCTTGGTATGTAGAAAAAAAGTGTCCTTAGAAATGGACCGAAAATTTGGATCGGGGTCGCATCTGCTTTACAACCTGTGGAAACACCCAGGAGTGTTGGTTTTAAAAGTAAAAGTGAAGAGGTGGTTAGTTGATGCCCCCCCCCCCCCAAAAAAAAACCACCAGAAAATTCTATAAGCACTATAAGCAAAAGTCTCACCTCTGACCTCTTAGAATACTGAGAGTGGCTGGAGGGAGCAGACAAAACCCTGACCCTGGCCAGATAAGGCAGGCAGGAGTTAAGTTCAGGCCAAGGTTTGGTTTAGCCTCTATTTGACGTGTATCATACATGTTAAAGCTGAGCTGGTCCCAGGAGCAGCTGACCTCACACTGTCACTGCCCCTCGTCACTGAGCCTTCTCTGGGAGGAGCCAGCCCCCAGGTGAGTGGTGTCACTTGTGAAGAGGTGTACGTGTGCATGCCCACACCTCAGAGGCAGCGGGACCTGCTGGCACAGTGCACTGGCTGAGCTGTTAGAGCAGCTCCTTGTCAGCCATGGCACCAGGCTGAGCCTAAAACCTCGTGGGAAAATTGAATGAGCCATTGGATGCTGGGGGCTGAGCCCGCCCGGAAGGAGAACTTGCTATAGCAGTGCCAGAAGCAGAATCCAGTTGTTTATTCCTAAGGCACCAGGTAGAACTGGAATTTGCCACCCTCCTAGTTCAGTAACTGCCTGGATTTCTCTGAAATGGCCACATGCTTCACTTTACATTTAGGAAGGACAGTGGCTCCTCGGCAGCAGGTGCTGGCTTAGCCCTAGTCCAGGAGGATTGCATAGCTGTCTGACTACAAAAATCGAGTGGGTATTAGTTCAAACAGTGCAGTGAAATAAGCAATGGTTTAGTTTTAAAACCTGAATCATTTGAAAAATTTATCTGAGGTAAAATGTTTAAAATCATTTTTGACCTTTAGCCTGTCCTGTCAGAGCTCTGTTGTAAGGCTGGGTCAAAGCGGATAGGCGCGGGGGCCACAGAGCTGCATGTGGAGGAAGCTGTGCGGGAAAGCCATAGGGATCCAGGGCTTGTTAGTGTTTTGGGCTTCCTGATGGACCCCCTCCCCCCCCCACCCCCGTTCCCCACGTAGAACGTCTGTCATCAGTTGTGACAGTGTCAGTAAGAAAAAGTTTCCACTGCCAGCCTGGTCTTTACCCCCCACCCCCACGTGCCAGGGCTGGTCCTGGGGGCCCGACAGGAGCTAGGGCATCTGCGGACAAGAACTACATCTGTAAACAATAAGGAGAAAGCCAGGTGGGAACTTACAGGAGGCCCTTTAACAGGCCTAATAGAAGGGTCACATCCAAATTGGAAGGAGCAGTTAATGTCCCTTCACTCTCTCTGAAAGGAAGGAAAGAAAGTACATTCTACCAGTTCCTGTCGCTTGCTTGCTCCTTCAGGGCCCTGTGGCCTAGGAGTCCACTGCCCGTCAGAGAGGCGTGTACTGATTGTCTATGGCCCGCAGGTGGCTCCGGGAGGAGGAGTCCATTTCGTAGTCTGAGTCCCGGGCACGGTTGGCAGGCTCCGACTCCAGGTGCCGCAGGCTGTTGGCCAGTTCCTCGGGCGAAGGCACCAGGTGGAAGATCTGCTCTTGGGGGGAGGAGCGGCCTGGGAGACCCTCCGGGCCCAGCCCCCGTGGACAGCCGGAGGAGCTAAGGTGGGGAAGGCCCAGCTCTGAATCCCAGCGAGAGAGGGAGAAGGGGAACAGGACAGTGTTGGAGGAACCTGGGGGACAAGTGACAAAGAGGCCATGTCGGAAGGTTTGCGGCAGCAAGCTTTCCCCTCTACGTGGTTCCCTGGGCCCACCACCCCTTTATCAAGGGGCACTGGGTTCACACCTGGTGGCTGGGAGACGACCACGACGTAGCTGGACAGCCGGACATCGCAGGCCGATCCACACTCGAGGGGGATAGGCGAGCGCTGGAAGTGGTGGAGCATGTCCATGACCGAGGGGAAGTGAAGGTGCTGCACGCGGCACTGGCCCCGCTCGGTCAGCGACAGACGCAGGTGCTGCATGGGGAGGAAGGGGAATCTCAGGCAGTGGCCCCTAAGGGCCTTGAACTTGGGGGAGCAGCCCCACCTGCCTTGGCTATACCTTGGCTATGCCTTGGAAGTTGAACGTGAGCACATACTCCCCACGCCGGGTCTCGCTCTGCCGTACCAGGAACACTCCATGAGCGTCAGGGCCCTGCAGCTGAACCAGCTGAGCTGCCTTCACTCGGGAGATAGGGCCGTGGAACCAGGGGTAGCAGGACAGGAAGTGATCTGTCTTCTGGCAGGCTGGGTCTAGCAACCCCCCAGGAGAAGCACCTGGTTGAGAAGATGTGTAATGGTGACCCCCTCTGGGGCACCTCACGACCTGGGCTGAGGCTGGGTTCTGACGCACCCAGAGCACAAAGGCCCAGACACCTCACCTTGGTTCAGGGAATCTGTGCTTCCCCTGGGAGAGCTGGCCGTGCCAGGCTCCGGAGCGGAGGGAACGTGCAGCTCCAGGTCTGTGCTCTCCAGCCTGCAGAGAAGGCGGGGTTACGGGTCTGGGAAGAGCAGGGTTGGTGTTAAAGCTGAGATGGGAAGGGAGTCTGGTGCCTCACCCTTGGCCTGTGCACTTCCGGAGCTCAGCCATCCACGAATTCAGCTGCTGCTCGTCTCCCACCTCAAAGATGATGTCTGTCCGGTCCTTTACCTGGTGGGAGGAAGGGAGCAGCTGTGTGGGTCCGTGAGCCGTGTGTGCATGTGTTCCCCCCCGGGTGTGGAAGCTCCGTCACTCACCTTCAGCACAAAGGTGTAGAGGTTGTCGGGCATCTCGAGGCGTGTGCATCGCCGGACCTCCTGGAGGCTGGAGCAGGCTGCTTGTAGCTTGGGCTTTGAGCTCTAGGAAACCCAGAGGTTACTCAGGCTTGTCCCTGATGGCCCCTTGCCCACCCAGGCCTGTTTTTCTGCTGAGCAGACACCCCAAGTCTGGAGGAAGTTTGCGTTCTGGCTTGCAGGAGCCCGCAGAGGGTCCTCTTGTAGCCTCTGAAGCACCGTCCCCACATCCTGAGATCCCCAGAAAAACCTGTGTGGGCTGAGAGCCAACCCCCCTCACCTGGACGTGTGCCATTCCAGCACAACACATGCCTGCCTGCTGCCATCTGCTTCTCCCCACTGGGGAGCAAAGAGCTTATGCAGCCCAAACCCCTGAACAAGCCCAGAGAGGGGGGCATCAGTGTCCACCCCCATCCACCTTTCTCCTGGTGCTGCCTGGCTGCTAGGGCCCCAGGTCATTGTGATGCCTTCAGCCCGCCCCTTCCATCAGCTCCCCACAAGCATGTGTCTCCTGGGCTAGCAGCCATCCTGGGAAGAGGATGCTATATTACCACATAGTCCAGAAGAAGCGCAAATCTTGGAGGTGAAGCCCGAGGAAGGAAAAGATCAGACTTTGAACGCTAGAACCTCAAATTTCCCAAACCTCACTAATCTATCCTGCCCTCAAGTCTCAGGACAAGGTGGGTGGGTTTGGCTGGAGGGTGGAGGTTGGCAGAGTAGCTTAGCCTCAGGCTTTTGGGGCTTCTGCCAATGAGCCTGAAGGGGCAAAGCCTGGCACAGCTGCTCTGTTACAGCCAGCCGAAACCCTCACAAAACAATGGGGCCAGGGGTCTCCATGACACCCATAGCACACATGGTTGAGTAGGTGGAAACTGTCCCAGAGCCCTATGCCAGCAAGAGCCCTTTCTTTCCAGGTCCTGAGTGAGCCTGGCTGGAGCAGGAGGCTCCGGGGCACCCTAGAACCCTACACTGCCCCCCATCGCCTCCATTTCCTCTGGTGACAAGCCCGATAAGCTTGTTTCTTCAGGGTCATGAGATGTCGCTGGCTGCTTCCAGCAGAGACCAAAGTAGATAAGATGGTGGAAAGAGCCCGAGATGGGTTGGGGAAGCCCCCCTGCCTCCAGCAGCTCTTTTCCCTGGGCCAGGAGGAAAGCCAAGTGCACGTGGGGAACAGCATAGCCCCTAACACATTGCATAGGGTGGGGGTGGGGGTGGAAACAAGAGGTGGGCTTTGGGGGATCCGACCTCTACCTCTGCCCAGAGGCTGCCTTTTTTCCAGAACTGACCCCCAAAGCCCTGCGCTTCCCCATGCTGTAGGCGCGCAGGAGCGGGGCACCTCTGACCCCGGGCTGCTGCCTGCCTGCAAACCCCTCCCACACGGAGGCGAGCGGGCAGACTGGCAAGTGAGGGTTGGCCAAACAGAGGCTCTTCCCAGTCCAGGCCCCTCCCAGCAGGTCCCAGTCCTGCCCTGGCTGCTGGACACAGCATCTGGAGACAGTAACAGCAGCTCTAGGAACCACTCACTTTGTCTAACATCACAAGTTGAGGGAACAGAGCCCGGAGGGGTGGCACAGCTAGTAAATCCCAGCCCCAGTGTTTTCACCTTTCCAGTCTCTCTTCCCCATCCCTTCCTTGTAACCCAGTTTCTCAGCCTGGGAGTCAGGTGTGGGGCCTGTGCACCCCTGGCAGCGTTCACAGCCAGCCAGTCTCGGAGCCTGTTTCCTGTCTACAGAAGGGTAAGGGACGGAGGGCTCGTTCCTTCCTTCTGCTTCTGCAGTTGGTCCTGCCTACCCCCACCCCCTCCGCTGGCTCCAGCCTCAGGATCCCTGAGAGGAAGTAGGCCAGGCCAAGAGGGGAACAGGCCGAGTCTCCCTTTCAGTTCCACTCCAGGCCTGGCCCCAGTCCCAGCCTAGGGAGTGTAGAGATTAATCAGCAAAGCCACTGGTTTCACTCTGAGTGTGGGGCCTCCATGCCAGCTCCACCCCCGCAGCTGAGGAACTGCTGACCTGGCGGCTGTGGTGGGAAGAGGATTCCCCCTCGGCACCTGAGGGCCCTGGCCCACAAGTGATGTGGAACTCGTCCTGGCCACTTACCTTCCTGAGGCTGAGCATGACGGCTTCCTCCCGTCTCCCCGGTAAGAACTGGGCTCTGAAGCAGGGGCACTAACTACGTGCTGCCTGAGCGTGGGCAATGCCAGAGGCTCTGCCCAGATTGGAGGTGGGAGAGCATGAGGACAGGACAGCCCCACCTGGACTGGGCTAGACAGGACTCGGGAGCACCAGGTGCCTTTCTGGTTGAGCGCACAGAACTGTGATGGTGAGAAGCGAACCCAAACAGCACCACAGGGACATCTGGGGGCATCAGGTCCCCTGCTCTCATGCCCTCTAGCCCACCTGTCATACTGAGCAAGCTGGGCCAGCAAGCAGCTGCTCTCTGGACCCACCTGAGTCACAGCTGTGCTTAGGTGGTCAAAACGGCAAAGCCACTCCAGGTATTTGTGCTATAACCAATCGCCTCACCCACCACCTCCTGCAGCGTCCACTCCTGGGAGCAAGTCTTCTCAGTTCCCGGTATCCAAAAAGCTGGCTTCTTTGTTATGGCCATTGGGACGCCCGTGGGAATAACCCATTTTTTCTGTGCTCTGGCTGCTAGGAAGCAAAGATGCAAACCAGCTCTGCCACTACCCTCACAGTAGGGCCTGCCCTCTACAGCTCCCCTTGCTTTATAATCCCTCCAGGCTCTAAGGTCAGTCCTGACCCTCTGCTTGTATAGCCCTGGAGAAGGGCTCAGCCCTCCTGCCTGTGTGTCTTCGTCTTTAATAGCCCCTTTCTTCACAGGGTTAGTGTGGTGGCCGGCTGGGGCCTGAGGCCAGCCAGGTGGGTCCACTACAGCGGCAGAGGACTAGGTTACAGACCACCCTCAGCATGCAGCTCCCTCTCCACCTGCCAGAGTGTGGTACCATGCTCCTTTCCACCCTGCAGTGAAATTCACACCTCCGATTACCTACATGCCTGAGACCATCTACATTAAAGTAAAATGTATTTCCCTGTGACTGTGCTTGAGTTTGTTTGAAAAGGTCAAGAACATGGAGGAGCCAGAGGGCAGGGTGAGCTTTGGAAGGACAATTGGTTCAGTGGCCATTAAAACTGGGCAGAAACTTCCATGTACTTCTACGTAAGACGGCATAAGTCCTGGCTCTAGGTTTGTCGTCGGGTACTTCTGGAGGGTGGTGGGAACCGCTGTGCCTCCACCCCCGGGCCCTGTGACTCTTCCTGGAAGGGAGGAAAGCGAGGGTGAAGCAGACCTTCCTCCTGCAGGCCTTGCTGTCCCTCACCTGCACCTGTCACTGCTCCCCGAGGGCTGAAGCGACAGCCCCTTCAGCTTTCCAGGGACTGGGATGTACCCTAGTCTACCTTGTCCTCACAACCACCTTGAGACCCTGGCAGAGAGACTGGCCAAGTCCTCACTGAGCTCCAGGCACCGGTGCCCCACAGGAACAAGACTGTCCGCCAGTGAGGTGGTCACAGTAGGCTCAGAAGTCCCCATGGTTTGGGTTTATTCTAAGGTGGAGCTCATGCTGAACCCCTTGACAGGGGCAGGCCGAACCCTCACAATGGCCTTGTCCCATCCACTGCGACCTGCCTGGCCACTAAAGGGGCCTTTAACCTTGAGTGAAATCTTTGAGGAGAGACCAGTCCCTGGCAGTCTTGTCTCTCCAAGAGCTTTGGGGCCCTCCCTCCTCTCCTACAAATAGCAGTGGCGGGACAGGAAGCTGGAAATATAGGTTCCCTTGAGCGCATCTTGTGGCCTGGAGCCTGGCTCTGAAGGTGGGTAATGAGCCCTAGCTCCACCATTTACTAACTGCAGCTTCAGTTCACATGGCGACCATAGGCAGAGCCTGCTCGCCTCCCAGGAGTAGGGGAGGTAGGTAGGTCTTGGATGGGGGACTGAAAACACAGACACGGCAAATTCCAGATCCCAGTCATAGGAAGCTTGGCCCCGCCAGCCCAGCACCAGAATGGATGCTGCCTGGATGGATGAGCAACATGCATCATCGTTACGGAAAACGCTTATTCAAGTCTTACTGATGGGTATCAAAGCAGCCTTTAAAAATACCACGCGAGAGAAATACCCTGCCTTGTTCCACAGGGATTTTTTAGTCAGGTTACAGGGACACTCAGGGAATCCCACTCGCCACAAGTTTGTCTGTTTCCTGGCAGCCAATGGAAAGGAATTTCCAAGAGAGGGCAGCCCTTGTGCACAGCCATCCATAAAGGCTCTGAGACGAACTGGAGCAGAGAAACCTGTTGAACCCATGTGTTCCTGACTTGGGCCACCCAGTGTCCTGCTCAGAAACCTTGGAGCCTGCACAACTGCTGCCCAGCAACCTCCCCATCCTGGGGTTTGGGAAGTAGCTCTGGCCTTAAGTCACAACTCTGCCTCATCCTCCATGGACAAGCAGCTCGCCTCTCCCAGCCCAAGTCCCCACTTTCGTAAAGAGGAGTAACAGTGCCACCGCCCCTCCCATGAGAGCAGCAATATAGCCTGTACAAAGGCGCTCACGGTGGGTATGGGAAGGTCCCGAGAGCAGCACCAGGTGGGGATGAGCCTTAGGAGCCCAGAGAAGCTGTGGTCAGCTCCGGAGCCAAGCACCCCCCCACCCTCACGCTGTCCACTGTCCCTGCCCCGCAGGCATCTCTCAGGTTGTCTCCACTCGACCATGTGCTCCAGAGGCCTCCCTGTTCCCTCTGTGTCTTCAGCATGGCACAGAGTAAGGGCCTAAGCGTTTGCTGAACACTCCAGAGTGAGAAGGTAGAGGGGAAGGCATTGGAGATTAAGGGAACACCAAGAAGTAAGGCCCAGAGGTCAAAAAGTACAGCTGAATCCACAAGATGGCTAGAGATCTGCTGTGGCTAGACATGACGCTGACAGCCTCACCCTACCCTTTAGTGAGCACCTACTGTGTGCCTGGGCTGTCTACCAGTGGCTTCTGGACTGCTGAATCCACAGGCCATCGCTATTCAAAAGTTTTCACAGAAAAGAGCCTATCAAGGGATGGAGGTGCTGGGACCAAAGAAGTAGGAAGGTCCTTGTTCCAGAGGAAGACAGTCCTTGGCGTTAAGTCTGGGACACTAGGTGAGAGCCTTCACCACTGCTCTGGGCCATCTGTCTGCCTGAAGATAGGTGGGGGCTCCCATGACCTCCCCGCAACCCTTGAGGCTGGTGTTTGTTTCATCCCACTTCACAAGTTCGAGACAAGGCTGAGGAAACCTGTGAAGACAGCATCACAACCAGCTGGCCTGGAGCCTCTGCAAGCGAGCCCATTACCACTGAAACCCACAGGCACCAAGGGGAGAGCTGGGCAGGGAGGCCACAGCCGCTGCCCTTCCCAGGCACCAGCGAGCCCTGGGAGACCTGAAGGAGGGAGGGCACAGAGAAGAACGGTGGTGCTCACAGGGACCGCCCCCACATACCCACACACACTAGGGTGAGGAGTCGGAAAACGGTATCCTGAACCCCAAGGTGGGCAGCATCAAAACAGCTGCCACCCCTGGACAGCTACACCCAGAAATATCCAGATCAAGTTGCTTCCCACCCCCGCTCTGCTCAAAACTCACTTGTGGGCCCCACTGAGCTAAGTGAGGAAGCCCAAGTCCTTGCCGTGGCCCAAAGACCCTGCACAGCCTAGGCCTGATGAGCACCTTGACCGCTGCCTCCCTCTCATTCTGCTCCAGCCACACCGGCCTCCACTGTTCAGTGTACCAAGCACACGCCACCTCAGGGCCTTTGCACCCGCTGCTCCGCTGACAGGCAAGACAGTGCTGCCACAGCTGCACAACTCTGGCTCTTCTCAGACGCAGGTCGTAGCTGAAGTGTCGCCTCAGGAAGGCCGTCACTGACCACAGTGTCTGAAGAGCAGTCACCATGCCATCACCCTTCAGTTCCTTCACTGCATTTATCTACCTGTAAAACGGGCTCGGTGGGGACTTCGTCTTGTTCATGTGGCATCCCCAGCCCCGAGCATAGTACCTGCTAGGCTGTCCGTGCTCATCACAGGCCTTTTGGTGCCAAGTGTCATGGGTGCTGGGGATCAGTGGGGCACAGTACAGCCCCACTGCAGACACCCTATCCAATGAGGGCTCAGGAGGAGTGATAGGGACACCTCAAGGAGGGGGCATGGCTGGGCCCCCCAGGGCTCCGGCTGGCCAGGGGAGAAGAACAGCCCACACCAGCATGGTTAGCCATGTTACAGATGGAGAAATGGAGGCCCTGAGAGACAAAAATCATTTGTCCTGGCCACAGAGGACCAGAAGGTGGGGCTGAGTAGAGCCGGGGCTCAGACCCTCGTCTGCCCAGGCCCAGGGCCTGTGCTCTCCCAGGCCAGGTCTTGGCAGAGAAAACCTCCCTCCTCCAGGGAGCCTTCTCAGGCGCATCGCATCGTGGTGAGTGCGATTCCTGTGCCTCTCCCTCGCCTCCGGCTTATCAGGCCTGGCCATAATTTCCTGATGAGGCAGCTGCTCCCCCACCCCACCCCCACCCCCGCCGTCTGACTGGGAGTTCCTCTGGAGGTGGGGACAGGACAGCAGCCTGCTCCCAGCTGGGGCCCAGCACCGGATGAGGTCCAGGAAAGAGCGTACCAGAGGCTGGTGTCCAGAGCAGGTCCTCAGAGAGGGTTTGTCAGGTGGATGGGGAGTAGCTAGGTGGCTGCTGGGGCCTCAGCCCTTGGATATCTGGGGAGCGGAGGCAGATGTGGGGTGTGGTACTATCTCACCCCTTGTTCTCTGGCGCCTTTGGGGGCAAACTGAAGGGAGGGAGCCAGTTCCAGGGACTGAACGAATGTCGGAACCACAGGCCACAGGTCACTTCCAACCCTGCCCCAACCAGGGCCACCAGCCCCCCTCCTTTAAGTGCCTGCCTCGGCCGCGTTTCCTGTGTGACCCCTGAGCAAATCACTTCCCTTCTCTGTGCTGTTGCCTCGTCGGTAAAATGGAGGTGAGAACAGAATGCAACCTCCAGGTAAGCGACACTGCCTGCTGCTGGCCTGTCTCTGGCACTCGCAGGGCGCCCAGACTCCCCCAGTCCCTTCGGGCTACATCTGCCCCTTAGTCTGCCCCCTGTTGCCTTGTGCCCCTGTCTCCACTGAGGAACAGGAGAGGGATGAGAGAAGCTTCCAGAAAAGCAAGTCGGCTTCCCCCCTTCCTCAGCAAGTGCCAGAAACAGAACTCCCCAGAGCCAAGTTAAAGGGGGTACAGATCCCCAAATATAACCACCTGTGCAGAGACAGGGCGCCATCATCTCACCTCCCTCCCCTGGGCAGGTGGTACCCCAGTTCACACCCTGAGGGACCGAGTGTTGGACCCTCTGGGGCCCCAAAGAGGCTGCGTGGTGGTCATTTGCCAGGGACGCTGGGACAGTCAGGCGGGGCCTCCTCTGAAGCCCCACCTGCAGGGAGTCTCCCCTCAGGCCCAGAGGGTCCCCCCACACCAGACAGACTCACAGTGACACAGTCACAAAGCCCCTTCTCAGAGACACGGAGACCACCCCACACAGAATCAGTGACGGGGACACAAAGCCCTCTCAGATGCCAGAGCACCCCCCTCCCCAGACAAACAGAGAGAGAGAGACAGCCCCCACAACACCACACAGAGCCAGGCTGGGAGCCCACAGCCTCGCCCCCTCCTGAGATGCGGTGGCGCCCGAATGGATGACCCAGCTGTGGGGACCAGCCGGACTTCCGGTCTGAGCCTGCCCATGGGGGCCGTACCCAAGGTGGGGGTGACTGTAGCTTAAGAGGGACTGTGACTGAATCGGGGAACCAAGGAACTAATCCCCCACCGACTGTCACCAGCTCATCTCGTCCCCCTCGGTGGCAGAAGTCCAGGCTGAATCCTGGCAACACCAGGTGGGTGTCCTAGGACAGGCCCTGCAGGGCCAGGCTGGACGGAGCCGGTTCCCGCCCTTCTGAGCCAGGCCGCATGCCCACATCTCTGCCTTCCTCCCTCCACACAGGCCACCATTCTTGCCAGACCTTTGGCTCTTAGGTG